TCGAGGGACAAACATCTTCCTTTGCTCGGCTCGTTCATCGTGAGCGACTCCCGAAGAACTACGAAACTAAGCAACACCGCGGAGGACTCGGCGATCGATTCGAATGAATGGATGGATGAATCGTTTTCAAGCGGACTCCATGCGACGTTTATTTTCTCGCTCCCACGACTTTATGAGGGTCCTCGATGTCAAGGAGCTCCGTAGCTCTCGGCGAGTCGAGATTGCGTTTCGGGGCATGGTGCACATCAATTCCGACCGGGGACTGAACTCGATGGCTCTTCTCTGGGTGAGCAACTCAAATTAACTGGTTTCCACGGTCGGAATCATCGTGGATAAATGACGTGAAACGTCTTTAAAAAAGTTGGCCTAGTATTTCACCAAAAGTGTGACGAAACTTGTCCATTTTCTACGCCCTGCAGCTCCGTGCCTTCTTCACCGATCGACACCCGGTTGGTGTCTTCAGATAGCAAATTTGCGGCGCATCAATTTCATATACTTCCTACGGAATTCCCTCACGCACAGATCAACTCCTGGAGGCGAGAATGACACCCAATGCGCCCTATTCGCCCGTGATCACGGTTGCTCCTGGGAGAGGGCGATTTCAAATTTCCAGAGCGCGCGTAACGACCCAATGGCTAGCAACGCAATTCCGCATCCACCTCTTTCAAAACTCAGAAGAAGATATTTTCCACTCAGAAGAAGATATATTCCACTCAGAAGAAGATGTTTTCCACTCAGAAGAAGACATTTTCCACTCAGAAGAAGATATTTTCCCAGCTTCGGTGAAGAGTTCGACTTCACTCGTGATAATGAGACCTAAAAGTACGAGCTGAGTTTAAAGAGATAATGACGATGCTCGAGTCTTACGAATGGCGGAATGGCCATTCCGAAGACGTTTAACGTCCTCTACACGGTAGTGGCTCTGCTGCTACCTCAGAATTTGTTTTTAGTCCGGTGCAGAAAGTGAAAATTCTCAGGACAGACTCAATCTCATCGAGTGGGGGTAGTTCGATGCTCCGCGGGTGGACAGGGCGAGATTTCTCGGGATCAAGGCTAATCTTCCAGTCCCATCCTACCTTATCTGCCGGTTCATCCTCTGTTCTGTCCTAATTATTTGTTCTATCCCACTGTTCCCTCGCGACTGGATGTTCGGAAGCCTCGAAGCGAGAGGACAGGAACCAATTGGACATAATGCCCGGTGCAACGAAGCTCATACACAATCGAGAGCAGTCACTGAGTGTCGCGGCAAAAGAACTCCCGGCTCACATGTATTGACTGTCGAAGCTTGGCAACCTACTCAAGGCAACTTGTCCACCCCTATGTTTGCTACCATCAGCACTTGGAGTATTTCGATCTCGTCCTGTTCGAGAGGGTTTGTAGCACTGTAGCTGATCCTGACGGGAGAATAGGGCGGACTCTGAGAATCCCAAGACGACTGAATAAGCTGATGAGACTTCGCTGAGTGTGTGGGTTAGCAATTTTTGGGAGACCGAAAGTGACAAGTTGTTAGTACCGAAGCTACATTGTGAGTTCGCGCTCCGAAACCCGTACGATCGACTCCGACACGGATATCAAGCTTCGACGGATCTGATGAGGTTACGATCGTCCGCCTTTGCGAATGGCTCACCGGGAGGATGCTGGGCCGAGCGTCTAGGACTCAAATCTGAGGACTGAGGAAGAGCCTGGAGTGCCTGTATGGCATCAGAGATCGTAGATGCGTGCACGAGCGGCATCAGAGAGCATTGAATGTGTCCGTTTGGTTTCAGCCTCATTTATTTTTGCCTTATCAGACCACGCTGTTCCGAAATGTTCTCACTTCGTTCATATTTTCACTCTCATCTCTTTCATACGGGAGTCAGTCACACTCGATAGGTTATCAGATGAATGGAATGCCAGCATCGGGAGGAATTAATTTACAGAAACCTTTCTTCGAATATATTTACAGCGGGCTGTTGAGAATGCTCGAGAATTGTCAGGGAGACGTGTATTCGCTGTTTCGCAAATAATCGCTCACTCGGTAATGAATCCGACAAATAGACGACCGAAACCGTCGAGTTTGGATGTGATTACAGCTCTGTACTTCTTCCCGACTTCAAGCTCCGCGTTAAAGTCCACCGTGGCGACGTGGGCCGGTAGCTGACAAAAGCACCGCGGCAGCTCTCGGATATTCGTTCTCGGAACGAAATCAAAAATAGCGTAATCGACATACTCAACGTGAACGAGCTGCTCGTCGACTTCATGGACCAGAGCCCGAGACCAGAAGTGTCCCTCTCCGCCGTACGAGGCCAGCAAGTAATCTCCAACGTCAACCGATGAAACTGCGCGATACTTCAACGAGAAACTCTGGAGCTTGCTCTCGAGAGCTCTCAGATTGTGTTCAGTGTCCGCGCGGCGAACGGTTACGGTTTTCTTGTTCGGCAGGTCGATGACCTCGATCTCACAAGCGCCGAGGATGAGCGCCTGCGGGACTTTCGGTTTCGAAAGAGTCAACTTCTCTTCAACTGAGGGAATAGCGGCTTTGATCGGAGCCATCTGGACTGGGGCCAGGAGCCCAGGAGCCTGTGGGTACCGATCCTGATAGCGCTGCGCCGAATAATATTCCTGATGGTCTTGTTCCTGAGGTTGATATTCTAGATAGTCTTGCTCCTGAGCTTGATATTCTTGAGGGTCTTGTTCCTGAGCTTGATATTCTTGACAGACTTGTTCCTGAGCTTGATATTCTTGATAGACTTGCTCCTGAGGTTGGTATTCTTGATAGACTTGCTCCTGAGGTCGGTATTCTTGATAGACTTGCTCCTGAGGTTGGTATTCTTGAGGGTCTTGCTCCTGAGGTTGGTATTCTTGATAGTCTTGTTCCTGAGCTTGATATTCTTGATGGCTGTTCTCCTGAGAGGGATATCCCTGCGGATAATGTTCTTGAGGAACATATTCCCGATGGTTTCCTTCATCGGCTATCTGTCCCTGAATCATATCCTGACCTTCCTCGACCGCTTCGCTTTCATGATCCCTCGGCGAAGGGGCAGCGCTGGGAGCAGCCGCTGCAGGAACATGAAGGACACCGGTCGGCGGAGGCTCACGTTTCGACAGAGTTTCCATTTTCACAGATTCTCTACCGAAATCGAATGCTTCCACCTTCGAGTACTCTCGTCTTTCTGGATCTCCGCTCGGCATCAGGCTCCCGAAAAGGTGCGTCTCGCCATGGACAGCGACGAGCTCGATGTCCTTAAGGGTCCGGGTCTCACCGGTGGCGACGGCAGCCGCCTCTCGGAGCAGAATGCGAACCGCCATGCGCGGCTGTTTCTCGAGCTCAGCGCTCAACGGTCGCATCTCGGATGGATGCGCGAAATCTTTGGTTCCAATGTCGAGCAGAAGGACCGGGAACCGTAAGCGGCAATCGACGCTGAGGACGACGGCTCTCACAAACATGTCTTCTACGTTTACGGCAACATGGCTGCCGACGGTTAGCTGATCGATCTTTAGCGGAGGGCTCTCGCTCAGAGACGCCAGAATGTTCCGGTGCATCGTCCATAGCAGATCCTTCTTGTACTTCGTCAGTTGACCATTGACGCACTGATCTTCGATGTAGGTCACAAAAACCTCTTCTTCGGACGCGATCGTATCAACCGGGAGCGAACTCATCTCGGGGTCTGCAAGGAAGTATTTTGAGATTCCGAAAAGCCTCTCTGACTTTCTCCGTACAGCAGGAAGGAGAGAATGATCGTTCCCTCGAGCCCGATCCCCGTCATATTCGATTCGAGGAATTTTGATTCTTCGAGGCTCTATCGGGATATTAAGGTGTCTCGAAGATGATCATTCTAGACACGTTTATATCCCCATGAAGAAGAAAGTACGAGCAATACATATAAGCACGTCGATGGATCATTCAATTATCATCGCAGGTCGCGTACGACAAGTGAAATGTTCGGAGAATGTGTTCGCAATTCATTGATGTAGCCCAAGAGCTCCGCGCCGCCTTGAACTTTGCCATCCTCAAGCCGCAATTCCGTACGCTTCGAAGCTATCCCTATGAACAACAGTCGATCCCTTGGCTTCCTAAGTAAAGAATAGCTCGGAGCAGGAGTATAACTCTCTCCCAGCTTGACAATATTCGGCTCAGAGCCTCTTCTCGTTGGTTTTCGCTATTTCAAGCGGAGAGCCCGAGGAAGAGAGGAATGCGGAAATTATGAGATTCACGGGAAAAAAACTCGAACCCCTCCATGGGACCTCCGAAACGATCACCGGATAACGTTCCAGGTTAGGTATCCGAAGATTCCGCTCGATGATTGTCCACAGAGTCACCTTGAGCTTACGTTTCGAAAATTCAAATGAAGAATAAGCGGCAACCACTCACTGTGAACAACTAAGTCCTCTCAGTCTAGGTGTCTCAAATCACCGAAATCGATACCGCTTTCAACGTTCTACCCATGGGAATCGATAAAGTCCAAACGATTCTCTGCCAAACGAAATCCATGACGTGAGAAGTTTCGAGAATATTCATCTCGCTGCTTCCCTGCTTCAAGTATGGATCCCCCGTTTCTTGAGACCACGCACAATCCTTTCCGCCGAAAAACACCCGACTGAGGCAGGAGCCCGGACGGAGCATCTTACCCCAAGCTGGAAAGGAAGCCAGCCGTCTCATCAGATCTGCTCCCGCAGAATAGCGGCGAAGACTCCAACCAACACTTACTATAGGAGCAGAATCACGACTTGCAAGGGAAAAATACGTACCGTACACCTGCGGGAGTCGGCGAGTCGTTCTCAAAGGACTTATTCTCCAATCCGAGCTCCTGAGAAGAGCTTGATGCTTCAGGGACAAGAAAGGCACGGATCCCAGAACAGGAAAATCTCACGCGGCTACCTGGACTACCACGCCAACGACATGAATTTTCTTTGTGCGAGAAACGTTTCGAATAAGCATCGCGCGGTGAAGCAGGTTCCGTAGAGATGTTCAAATTCGATCCGAGGAAACAGCAGCGCCCTCTACAAACACTCCGTCAGCTGGGGAGAATGTTCCACGCGCACCGTCACCGCGCGGTGTAGATTCGGTCTTGTTTTCCCGCTCTGCGGATTTCCGAGCCCAATGCCGAGAATGGCTGGGATAATACTCCTGTGAAGTTTGTAGAAGAGGGCAAGAGAAGAAGAGAAAATGTCCGCCCTCGCCTCCAGCCTGAGTGCCACGACCAGGCTGGGCACGAAGAGTGCGAAACGCTTAGTACAGACGTGAGTCCCAATCGTCTGTTCCGGTTGTCAAGATGAATCTTCAATTCGGGATTTTCTTGTGGTATGGAGCTCACCGGAGTCGGTTTCCGATTTCCAATTCGAAATTCTAGACCGGTTCGGCAAGCAGGGAGGTTCAGACCGTTTGTGGAGAAGGAGATTCCAGTCAAAGAAACCATGCTCCGGCCAAAGAAAAGAGTTCGCTGTTACCTCTGGGGTGGCACCCTCAGCGGCGCTTTGGGACGAGACAAGTTCGTAAGTTTCGCGAAACCCCAAGATTCTTCAGTGTCTCAGATACACCGCGGTCATTTTTTCTTGCTAACTGAGCGATGCCATCCGGTCTAGCTCCCCTGCGCTAGACAACAGGGGATTCGCAGATCTATGGGGGACCCTCCGGGGCGTCAACACGAACCTAGTCTGAGTCCGGTTCTCGAAGCTCTCGCGTTTCAGCGTGAGGCGCGAGCCAACACAAAAGACTCCATTGAGCACGGAGCATAGAGAGGATCTTACTTTTCTGACTATCTGATCCTAACCGTTGATGGATTGCTCGTATTATCATTCATCGTAGGGGAGAAATCTTCAGGGTGTCTGACGTTTGTCTCGAAAGTGCGAAATACCCCGCAGCATCGATTTTTTTCCTGGACTCCAGCCGGATCCCAAGCTTACAGTTTTTGACCATGCATTCTGTTTCAAGGTGCGGCCTTTGGGCGTGACAATCGATAGGGTGAGCCACCATTGCAGCTATCCGTCCAAGATTGGCTTCAGTGAGAATCACATGATGAAAGATATCGCGTGCGGATACGGTTTCACTATATTCGCCGCTCGTCATGATGAAAGACTCAATGATTTCGAGGTGAGGACTCCTCTCTATTTCCGGGACTGTCAAGTCCAATTCGGTGAATAGTTGGTGGCCTGATGGAGGATCGATTATAGACGACAATTCAATTCCACAGCTGTTCGGTACCGGCATCAACTCCGACTCCCAATTGGGTAGTCAGAAAGCTGACAATAAAGCCGATATGAGATTGTTGACCGAACCCGTGCCGATAAGGTTCCCGACCCACGAGAACGGAAGGCGCATTCATGTACGGAAGGTTGCGGCCGGTAGAGCCCATACCATTGCGGTCACGGATCAAGGGATCGCATACGGACTAGGTGAGATCGTGTCCCCATCGTTGCTCGCACGTATGCCGATAGACGTCGCGACGTCATCATCCATCGTTTGCGAAACCCACTCATGCGGGGATCCGACACGAAAAATTCCAGGCAACAACAGTCTTGGCCAGTGTGGAAGAGAAATCGATCCGGACGAGGTTTATTTCGGAAGAGATCTGGTTCGACGGATCAGAGTTCCTGGCAAAGTCGCTGAAGTCGTTTGTGGACTCGATCATACACTGTTCCTCACCGAGAGCGGCGAGGTTTACGCCTGCGGCTGGGGCGCCGACGGACAAACCGGTCTTGGACACTATGGGAACACTGGCGTGCCGCAAAAAGTTCAAGGAGACATCGAAGGCGTCCGTATAGTGGAACTCGCCACTCGGGGAGATTGTTCTCTGGCTGTGAGCTCTTCGGGCGATGTGTTCGGTTGGGGCAATAACGAGTACGGACAGCTCTTGGGGGAGAAAGGTGAATCTCAGCGACATACACCGAAGCACATACGCTTCAACAAACGGATCAAGAAAGTTGCCGCCGGCGGCAGCTCGTGTCTCGCCTCGGATGGTGAGTCCTTCTCTGTCCGACTCCACTATGGAATCGAATTTCAAGGAGCAGTTTTTATACGCGATCAAGCTCCAGATGACCTCGGTCCGGGTTCTCTATCGAAATCAGCCGTCCGGACCGAGTCCCTTAATCGAATAAGCATCGGTCGCGGATTCGCCGGTGGTTCGCGTATTGGTTGGCTTCTCGATGACTAGGACTCCTGTTAGGGCAAGGGCATCACCGCAATCAGTTGAATGAGTTTCAGACTACTCGAAGGAGTATCAAACAGTCAGTTTCCGACAGAAAAAAGCTCCAATACGAATCTAGGACTCGACTTCAGTCCATTAGGCGTAGAACGGATGGATAACTTCTAGCTTTTCGTTTTTTTCCTTCTTTCCACAGAAGAGGGTCGCGTCTACTGTTGGGGCTATGGAATTCTGGGTCTAGGACCCGCGGTTGGACACAGTTCTTCGCCGAAGCAGATACCAGCGGCCCTTTTCGGGGCCACAGAGCTCTCACCGAACACTCGGGTGGTCTCGCTAGCGAGCGGGCTGAATGATTTCGCTGCTATCAACGATCAGGGTCACTTGTTCACTTGGGGTCGGAACCAAAATGGATGCCTTGGGCTCGGACATGAGAAGAATCAGATGTTCCCTCTGAAGGTGAGTGTCACCCGCAGACTCCTACCTGGAATCAAAGGGATCTCATTCGTTGTCGGAGAATATGCGATCGGCGTCAAGCTCGAGCGGCCGATGGGAACTAGAGGCGGACTCGCACGCAGGGGATTCGAGAGTGGATCCCAGATTACTGAAGCAGCCCCGAAAATACCCGATGAATGATTCATATTTTCGAATTCAATCTTTCTATTCTCCGTCATGGGTAATAATGAGCTGCGCCTGATTGCTTTTCCAGGTTAATATCGCCGTGAGGGTCGCCAAGGTGTCGATAGGCGTAGACCACATGGCTGCGATAACTCAATCCTACTGCTGAGGGGAGACGAGACTGCTTTAACGGAAAGCTCTCGTGAATATCCATGAGGACCACGATTCCATCCATCCAATGTAATCGTCGAATAAAAGCATACTTGTACATGAACGAGGTTCATACCTTTATGCCGATGGAATGAGACATCTTCGATAGCTGTGGTCTGTGGCCAAGACCCGTCGGCTTTCTGAGAAATGTGGCTCTTTAGACATTCGTCAATCAAAACATGCAGAGGGAGCAATTGAATAATTCCGGAGGGATCCGGGCATCATCGATTGACCGACCGACTATCATGTACCGCCTCCTCGAGAAAGGCCTAAGGAATAAGCTTCACAGTATATTACGTCAGTCACATCTACTCAGTCGCACCGAACCGGTTATATCCGCGAAGCTGGGTTTACGATGTACCTATGCCTAGATATTCATCATACGTAGTCTGTGCCCTCCGGAATGTACGGAGGTTTTCGACCTTCTCCAGCAGGTTGAGAGTCTGCAAGCAGCCTCCATCCACGTAGACGACGACTCAAGATTCCGATATCCTCCGGAGACCCGTCGGGAAAGGAGAGAATCCATAGATGCAATCAAGACTTCCTACAACGAACAAGAATCGAGATGGACGGAGAGTCGCAGCTCATGCTATAAATATATTCCCTGTCCATCAAAGCTTCGAATGTTCGATTCTCGCCTCGTTTAGGACACATCGTCCGGCCCATCGCGCGCCAACAGATGATTTGAATTTTCCAAAGATGGCTGCCTCTAGTCCCTCTCTTCTCGCGCTCGCGATATCCCCTCTCGACTCTCGAGCCGACAACTGAGCTGACGGAGAACAACACAGCGGTAACTTCAGTGCCTTAGTGAAAAAGTGTTCTGTCGGGGACGGAACGTGTGAGGACTCTGGAATTTACCGGTCGGGAGTGCGGACCTTCTTCCTGGAATACCTCCTGGTGTGCGAAAAATCGGCAATGGAAGTTATCAAGAGCAAGGAGGACTTCGAGAAAGCTTCGACCAATTCTCTGAAGTGCGTTGTCTTCTCAATTCTGCGACTTTATCGATCCCCTTCATCTTACAGCAGCTCCGCTAATTCTATTCTTCAATGGGAGTCGATCGTCGGATGCCGATTCTCGAAACATTCAGACTGAGATCGATCCTAACGGATAGAGAAACTTTTTCAGAGGTTTCCTCGTTGTTCATTTCTTCGCCGCTTCATGGTCGCCCGAGTGCACTCAGATGGAGGATGTCATTAAGGAAATTGCGGCTGATCACCCGAAAACCAAGTTCTTCAGGGTGATTATCGGGAGCACGAAAGACAAAATTCCCATAGAATCACTGCGCCGAAATTCTAACATCTATCGAAATTTCTCGACAGATCGAAGCTGAGGAGTTGGAGGCGATCTCACAGCAATACGGGATTACTGCCGTGCCGGAGTTCGTATTCCTGCTGGGCAAGGCTACACAAGAGAAAATGCGAGGAGCTGATCCGTCAAGCTTCATGCACAAGGTCCGAGAACTTGAGAAGAAAGCCGAAACTGCCTGCCTGGGAGACGAAGCGACGAAGGTGAGTCACCGTCTCGTCGAGCGATCGAAGTCCTGAACGCATCGTGCCATGAAACTCCAGCCTGGGATTTCTAGTCAAGGGAACGTATCGTTGCAGTCCGCGTCCTCGAGCGCCGAATCGCTCGACACACGTCTCCGGAAGCTCATAGATTCGAAGAAAGTGATGATTTTCATGAAGGGTGACCCGAACCAGCCTCGATGTGGATTCAGCCGGAAGGCCATCGAAATGTTGAAGAAGCACAGCGTAGAGTTCGGTTATTTCGATATCCTGACCGACAATGATGTCCGTGAAGGACTCAAGAAATACTCGAATTGGCCCTCATATCCCCAACTCTACGTCAAAGGTGAGACCACCGCTCCCGCGCATCTTTCGCTGACTATCAAATGAATGATGAGTCTGTATACGCGAAATAGATCGGCATCCTCAATCATTCGGGAAATTTGATTTCAGGTGATCTCGTGGGCGGAGTCGACATCATGGCGCAGCTAGAGGAAGAGGGTAGCCTGAAGGGAGTTCTCGAAGGATCAGCGTGAAATCTGATCGCTCTAATTCGAGCGTCTGGAGTTCCGCACCGGAGTCTCTAGCTCAGGATTGAAGAGAGAAAGTCAAACGATAGAGCCTTATCCACGCATCAATACCTCGATCGATACCTAGCTCGCTTTTCGCCGAGTCTTAAAGAGCCGTAGATTTCTCAGAGGCGTCTCCGAGTCGAAGAATACATTCCCATGCATCGACGTATCGGTCGAAGTTGTTCGTCATAGGAGTTCTTGGCAATGGACCAGGAAGTGTTCCGTGAAATAAACCTCGGGGCTTCATTGCGAGAAACCTTTAAACTTATCATGGAGAGTTCTAGTCGGATTCGATGCTTCACTGTCATCCCTTTCGATCCCCCAGCACTACATCGAGTACATAAGACTAATTGAGCTTCGGCTGAGTTATCGCCGAGCGTTCCAGGACGCACCAAGTCCCTCCTGGGACATTTCACCTGGGTATTTCGGCGTCAAAATAGAAGTTGGAGACGATGAATGAAGTTGGGCTGGCCTCGAACATCAAGAGATATATGCCCAAATTTTCTCTCTAGCCTCTACTATGTCTCAAGGCTGACGAATTCGCCTCCGCATTGGGGAAGGGGAGGAAGATATCGGGATGGTTGCGAAGCAGGACCAGCGGGTGTGGTGGAACTGCTGCGCTCGAGGTGTTTACTGAGATTTAGCTGATTTAAGCGTCGATTTGCTCGACCGATCGCTCCCGAGTCAAAGATATGGTCGCGTACGAATTTTCTCCTCACGCTCGACAGCGTCGAGTAAGGTTCTTTGAAGTGCGTCCAGAAATTCCACAGATCAAGCGCATGGCGCAAAGCTCGGAGAACGCGGCAAGGCCTCAGAGATCGCTTTATTCCTGTGGATCAAGGATATCCAATGGATTTTCGGAAAGCCGGTGCAATGCGCATTAGCTGATTCTCTCCGAGATCAATGACGATTTCCCTCCCCAGAAGGAGCCCAGCAATCCTGAATCAGACGTCGACGCTCCAAATTGAAGAGAGGGTGAATTATGGATATTGATGATGCTTTCTCACGCGAAGGTTTATTCGGAGAGTCGAAGTCTCGCCGATCTCGGACGATGTGAGCAACCTCCTCCGGCGTCGCTTGGAACAGATTACAGCGACCCGTTTGTCAAAGAGAACCTGTCTGTTCCGATACTTCGTCCGGCTGACGCTCGCTCGTCAGGAAAAAATCATTATTGTCACGTTCATGGTCTCCCATCTCGATCGATTCCCACACGTTTTGCCCCTGACACAGTCAGCATACCATAGCACTCACTACCCCGTTCCTCTAGAGCTACCTCATACCTGATTGGGGAAGAGAACGCGTTCTCCAGGGACGCGTTCGGAAGTATTCGATCATCGACCCCAATATTCCCTGAATATGCCTATCACCAGGTTCCTCCGGGCGGGGAAGAGACCGAGCCTCTTCCTTCGTCTCTGTGATCAAGGCACGCGCGACCGCGCGTCCCGGCGTTTCTGCTCCCCATCGAAGTCCAGTCTGTGAAATTCGATCGGCGCAGTCGCCCGAGAGGAGGAAACCCCGCCAAAATCGGAGTCGACAGAAACCACCGTCAACACTCAGCAGTAGCAGCAGCGACACCACCACCATCATCATCACACACACTCCCTCCATCACACACACCCGATCATCTGTTTCTGCTTACACACACATATCAAGCTGCAAAAGCTTACAACTGGACTGCATCAAACACAGTTCCCATCGACTTTGTGCTGAAAGTTGATGAGAGGATAAGCCCTCCGAGGCTCGGTGCAAGCCATGGAGAGCATGGACAGCCTCTTGTCCGAGATGTTACAGAGGTTCCCTGAAGTTCCCCGCGACACTGTTATTGCTCACGTCAAACTGGTGAGGTCATAATGTAATCATATCAAGTGTCCATTCTGAGCTCGGTCGGGGAATTGTTTGTAACAGGGTTTCGATTACCCATTTTATTCTGCGGCTACGACCCGAGCGAGACGAGATCTTCCGAAAATCATAGATCAGTCAGGAAGGAGAGTGTAAATTCGAATGAAACCCTCTCGTTGCTGCTCCGAGGATCCGTATTCCCCGAATTTTCGCTTTCGATCGGACGCTCTCATCGCGGGGCTGTTTCCCGCTCCGAGCCTCCGATTCCCGATCGAGCGAGAGCAGGGCTGAAACTCGCGATGACGTATCCGCAATTCGCTCCTTCGCAACACACCCTCCTCCGTTCATCAGAGTGTCTAATCCGACTCCGACTTCCAGTATCCAAGAAACCGGACAGCTCTCTTGAATCAGCTTAGCCGAGTCTCTTCCACCCTCGGTGCTGTTGGGGGGAGCAACGGAGAGGGCGGATCGCAAAACGGAGCGAGCGGGGAGAATCTGTCCCAAATGTATTCGGATTTTGAGACTTCGGGAGTCGAAAACGCCCATCTCGAAAGCGTGCCAATGCCCGAGCGCCCACCTTCTCTGATCATCACACCCCCACAGAGCCCGGACAAGGTAAGCTATCCTCCACAACGACCTTGGTAATTGATGAGATCCGAATCAGGTTGTTATGTTAGAAAAAGTGTCATGATCAGAGTGCCCCGAGGATCCGTGGTGTTGGAATCCGAGTTCTCCGACCTCCCTCATTCGGAGCTCTTCTGCTTTGCAGCAGGAAAACGCCCCGAAACTCTGCATCGTGGAGAATCTCAACTACGAAGCTTTCCTGCTCCGGAACCAGAAAGACAGATTACAGGCTTTAGACGAAGCCACACAGAAGAATCGGGAGTGCTTGATGAAACTCCGCGACGAGGTCACGAGGAAAGAGAGGCTTCTATTCGAGAGATCCGTTGAAATCAGAGAAGAGAACCCGAAGATAACAATAGAAACCTTGCTGGACTTGGCACAAGCGAATCGGCAGCTGTGCGTCCAAACGCACTGCCTCGTCACCGAGGTCGATCTCCACACCGATGGTCAAGCCCCCTTAGGATTTTACGATAACATCTATCCTGGTCCGGTGAGTGAAAGTCGAGACTCCCCCCTGTCGGAGAAAATGATTTTCCCAAGTGAATCGCGCTGCTTTCTGAGAAATGCCGCTCATCTGATGTCTCGTCTTCCAGGACAATCCTGTGGCCACGATCCAAGCGTCCTCGAACCGGCGGAGAGAGAAGCCCCCTGTCCAGGAGCCGCCGTCACGATGGGGATGCGAACACTGTACATTCGTGAATCATCCAGAAATCAAAATATGCGAAATGTGTCTGAACCCGAGATCTTCAACCTCTTCCATTGTGTCTAGTAAGTTTGACGAGCCCTCGAGCGAGGATGAAACATCCAGCACAGATTCGCTGTCGTTGCCGGATAGTAGCGAAGACGATGACGATACGCTGAACGATGAGATCGAGATCGAAGTGAAAAAAGAGCCACGGGGTAGATCTCCAATATGTTTGCGGATGAGGCAACGGACGCCCAAAGATAGTGTGACGTTCCGTTTCTACAAGAATATCAACAGAGGTTAGAGGAAGCCTGCGTTTGCGATCACTAATAACGCGACGGGCGTCGCGGCAAGTTTTGCATTAACCACCCGTTCCCGTACAATCATCCTGGTGCTCGAATTCCCTGTTTGAAGTTCTGAACATCGTTCCTCCCCGAGTCATTCTCGGCAGTGCGCGGGCGTCACTCGAGCTATTTCGATAAGCTTCAAAAATCTCAGGATCGGGAGCACTAATGAAGAAAACTCTCAATTTCAGATTAGATCGGGGGCTCGACTAGAGGCCGTTCGACGCAGATGGATTGAATTCTAATATATGGAAGTGTCAAACTTGTGTTAAACTTGATGCCGAATAAGTATATGTATCATTCAATCGACCCCATCGTTGACGAGGGCGAACTCTTCTGTAAAAATGACCGATATCATGACATAGTAAAGACCCTTTCCGAGAGACGCAGAGCCTCGTAGACTGAAGCATTTTCATAGTCGATCGGTCAGTTTTGGGGATTCCCGATTCGAGCTAGCGAACCTCCTAGACTTCGTAGGACCCTCAATCGGTTGTTCCAAGACTTTTATTGGCCAGCGTCAAACGGTGCGCGGCGGAGGCGATTGGTGGGATGTAGAAGATGACTTTGAGAATGTACACACTTCTACGCGGACAGACTTGACCCATCGATTCAACCGATTGAATCATAAAGCCAACGTCAATCTGGTATACAGTAAGTCGGCAAACTGAACGAGCAAGATCACTCAGAGAGATCCTTCCACTCGACGACCACTATTATTTACAGCGCCTTAATTCTCACGTGAGTTGTGTCGGAGTCTTAATTCAACAGAACTCTTCGTCTTTCCGCCGCAATCATGACGGCGAGCCGTGCTCTCGACCCGATCAAGGTCCCCGGGTCCCCCGAAGGCAAGAGAAATCACTCGAATCCCATGTACCAGTTGAAGCCCTGCGTGGCTCCAATGATAATAGGCTGCCATACTAAGGCATATCTTATCAAGTCGAGGAAATGACCGAAGATCACATGAGGCTTTTCCCAAGGGTTTTTGAACAGCTTCTGGAGGTCGACTTTTTCCTTGCAGTATGGACAGGTCTGTTTTTTACCTACTACACACCAACCCCGAATACAGAACTCGTGGAACGAGTGCGAGCACGACAGCGTGAAACGCTCCTCGACAACTGCGTCTTCGTTATTCACAATCATGATTTTCTGCGCGCAGACCGCGCAGGTGTCCTTGTCGAGATTACGATATGGCACTCCGCTATCGGTGTAGTAGCCGATGGTGCATGCCATCCGATCGGTGACGACTTCGGCGATGTCCCGACCCAGGACTCCGTAATAAACCCCGTAAAAGAAAAGTAGGGTCCCGAATTTGAATGCCACGTCGGGTAACGTCGAGAAGAGCTGAGATCCTCCCATGAGTGTGAAGATCAGAACCAGATAACTGGAATTGGAAAATTTGGAAAATTAAATGCGAAGCTGATTTTTTGGCTTGACATAAAGCTCAGTCTTGACCCGATAGGCAGCGATGCGGATGGAAATCTGGATTTGCCTCGAAGGCTCCTGTGGGAAGCTCACCCGCACACGCCCAGGCCGACGCTTTGTAAATGAATACAGTAAAACCATTTGTACACCCAGCGCGGGGTGGTCTTGCCGATCGGCTTCCGGAGGGCCATCCGTATCACCATGCCGGTGATGATCGTGAAGATGGACCACACGAATATGAATCTCCAGTAGCCGGCATTTACGGAGATGCATAATGGTATCAGCCAGAGCCCTAAGTGAAGAAGAAGGAGAAGGTCGTTTCATTCATCGCTAAGCTCGTTTGGCGCATCCTGGGGGATATTCCTTCGAAAAAAGATATTTTTTGATGATGATGGCCCTAACGGTGAGCGTGGCAACTTACCCCACATCGTAAACTGTCTATAAGAGCTGTAGTGTTTCTCTTTCCAAACAACGATAAGAATCTGTGTGGCCACCACGCCGAATAGCAGGCTGATGCCCATCCAGAAGTGCATCTCTTCGTGTCCTTTGTGTTTTTCATGGAACCTGCGATCAAGGGCGGGAGATCTTCGTCATACCGAATGTTTTGCAAATTATCAAAAAGAATATTGCTCAATGGATCTGTGGTTTTTAGAATGCCGAACATCTGTTGCTTTTGACCAATCCAGACCTGGCATGTGCTATCCGTAACCGCAAATCTTCGTTCAGATGTGATATATCCTTCTCAGGGTTGTCGAGATATTCCTTGGGGACAGGGCCATGAATGTGACCGTAAGCGCCCGCGAGGAAGCTCACGAAAATGAGAACGATTCTCCTCGGATCCGGCATTCTCGATGTAAAGCTGATCACTGTAAAAGAAATCGAAAACCCGTCAAGAGTATTCAACCTCATCTTCGTCATCCCCCAGTCTCATACGAGCGAATAAAGCGGAGATCGATCGCATCGATCCCATATGATCACGACGTCATCGCGGAGGAGGACAAGCTGAGGAATTCGTTGATTTTTTTTATCAATTTCTCGCCCATCGGTTTCCGGCGGAACACGATCGCTAGCACAGATCTCTAAGCTCAGCTCCGTCGACATACCACATGCCGCTTTGAGTATCAGAGGTTTCCACCATTTAACTCGACAACTAGACATCTTCGCCGGCCCTTCCGCCCATTCCGGCAGCGCCAAACGGATCGGTATCGATCCGAGTGCTCGGATTCCGACTCCATAGAACTCAAGGGACATTTGCTTTCTCTCTGATGCGGACTCGCTGGTCGAAAGAACTCTACGGAAGAGCTCCTTGAGCTCAGACGAGAGACTGTTCACGTCGTTCTCATCACCGTAAAAAATCGAGGATGTCGAACACCGGATATTCACCCACTGACTCACTCACTCACTCGGGGATATGAGGACTGCCAGGAGAGGTCTCAGAAGTTCGTATGAATCCTCTCCTGATTGTGGCAGGATCGGCTGGCTATTTCAGAACGACCACATTATCGGCTCTCCGAGGATGGCACTTCCAGCACTGACAGTCATTTTGTTCCGAACCGTATGCGCGCCGCCATCTTGGAGACGATCTTATCAGCAGCTGTTTTCGACTGAGTTTTTTCGCGACATTACGACGGGCCACGTTTCGCTCACCTATGATTCTCCATCGGGCCTCGTCGAGATTGACAGGAAGGATTCACAATGAATCAGCCCAACCCCAGCTTCATTTCCCTTGACCCTGTGGGCGCCGGGGGACTTTTCAAATGTTTCGCGGGAAAAGCAACGGTGCTTCACCCTCACTCTTGATCGGTGTTGGTCATCCTCCGTCTTTCGGGCTGATAGACGTAGTCCTGGTGCAGGACCAGCTTTGAAACGAGTTTTCGGAGGGCCTCTGGCAGGAAAATCGGCGCTAAAAAGTTGACGACTCACTTTACCCGCTCAACTTCCCCATTCATCCGGGGGCGGGGGCGGGTCCGAATGTCAACTCCCGGAGGCTTCTTGATTCAGACTCATGCTCTTTCAAACGCGAATTCCAGCGCAGTTCAACAAGTCCTCAGACATCCGAGAGTAACTCGATCCTCGGCCACTAGTCTGTAAACAAAACGAGAACATTCCCGCCAACCCAATTGTAGAGACAGAGTTCAGGTTTCAGTCGCGACTCTCGACTGAGGGGGGGGGGTTACTTAGTACCTGATACGCCATTCTTACTCTTACTTATACTTGATCGTCAGACGAGCTCCGAAGACCATGCCGAAGGGTTTCCGTATAAACGGCGAAACTGCCTTTTTTCTAAACGGCGAGGAAAACGGCTCCGATTTTTTCTGCCCATGTTGTAGGGCTCGATGCCCTCAAGAATGTTCTCTCTGACCATAACTCCCGAATTCTCACGGTTCTCGATTCATACAAAAATTATGATTCTTCAATGTCATATAGGGGAAAAGACTGACTCGAAAATCGAATGTTCCCAATGAAAATGGAAACTGTAAGGGTCTCAGAGGTGAGGTCAAGGAAACAATTACGGAGGGGTCCGAGCACATCTTCTGAACATCTTCTTACTCTACGAAAATCGCGTGTGTCGACGCGTTTCCGGGGAAAATTCCGAGTGGGAAAAATTCTCCTCGAAATCGGTTCGGCGCACGAGGTTTTCGTGAATAATTCCGTCCGGCCGAAACCCCGCCCGGCAAGCCTAGCCTTGTAACTCCCCCTCGCTCTTCCTTTCCAACGCGAGTACCCATTTAATGGTGAGGAGTGATGGAGCTTCTCTTCGACGATCGATCTACCAGAGCTCATGTACCGTTCTTCTTGTAAGCAGCCATAACCGTCTCCATCGCCTCCCTCTATCTCTCGGCATCCCTTCTCGACATTGCTCCTCGTACCGTCGACCGGGAGTCACAGCTCGATATTGTTTATTGTATTCTTCTGGGCCCATAACCTATGAGCGGAGTTAGAATATGTCGGGTGATTTGGCAGATGCACCAAGAACGAACCAAGAGCTTGTACGGTCGACGCGACGGTCGAACACGGTCACTCAGGCGTAAAGTCCGTGAAATGCCCCGCGATGCCCTGCAAAGACTATGGAGAAGTTGAGAATTATATATATGTATAGTTCTCGCAAAGCTCAGTCTCAGCCACAGTTTCGACCTCGATTCTGACCACCTGGTGCGACGAGATATGTAGCCCATCATTCATGGAGTCTCCCTGTGGTGATTGATGATCGCTCTTAATACTAGATCCCAGACATAGGTCAATGAAGGTACCCGGCGCTCTGGAGCAGGATCTGCAGGACCTTGAGAAAGATGTCCCTGCCTATCCCCTGTGAACGATAGACATCGAGCCCGTTCGTTGATGAATGTCATTTGGTCCTCATATATCCCTCTCATTTCAATACTCGCAGGCCGGAATCTGCCGGACGGATCCTCTCGAAACACAACCCTCGGAATGCTGAGCTCCTGAGCCCAATCACGTCGAGCTGGCCTCGACCGAGTTTTTCTCGAGATTGACCCATGCAGTCGCCGACGGAGGGGTTCCATGTATGTACTACGTGTATGTATTGTACGTATGTACATGTATGTACTTGTATGTATATACTACATACATGGAGCATGTATGAATGTACGAACATGTACTACATACGTACTATGTAGTGCACTCGAACGCCTCCCTCAGAGTATACTTGAGTATGCAGCTCTCCGATCTGTGATTAATGAGGCAGCAGTCAACGACCATCGAGACTTGCCTTATGGGATCTTTCTCACAGAAGCAACTTTAAGGGAACGGTGTTGATAAAGAAAGACGCGTGGGTAGTATCCTTCATGAAAGGCGACTCTCGCCGACGACGGAAATGCTCAGCGTTTTTTTCTGGATACAACATTTAGACAGACAAACGAATAGCAACACGGACACGAGAGAAACTATAAGGGTGACACGAGCTGACGAGACAGATGGATATGTCCTCCCTCCACTTATCCGATTTTTTCAGTAGAATACAGTACGATACACATGTAGCGCTACGACGGACGTCAAGTCGGATAATGAAGACTGCAACGACCATTGAGAGCTCCAAGTACCATGGGTACTCGATGATGTCGCGAAGAATCGCGCATAATCGTATGAGGGTATCCTTGATTTTAAGTCCTTCGTAGAAGCTCGCGCTCAGCGAGGAGCCTCCTGGTTGTTAAGATCCGGAGCCTCTGAGTCATTGAGATTCGCTCGACCATCGAAGACTGCCACGCAAATTCAATCGATGCCAGATCCTTCCCGGCAAATATTCATCGGGCCATTGAATTATCGACGATTATTTGTTTCCTGTGAGCGTTCCGCGGTCGTACGCAGTTCGCGGTCCACTGCTCGGGCCCCGACTAAAGATCATGTTCCACGCAGCCAGTTAAATGTCAGCGAGATCATTGTTTCAAATGTCGGCCCGCAGAGGATTGTGAGTGTGTTCACATAAATGAATCACTCGGGCCTCCCTAGGCCGCCAAGTCGCTGCGGTTCTACTGAAACTGAAGCAAGCTTCTAAAATCGAATGATGTGAACGAGGACAGCCAAGAGCCACCGATACCGGCAGAGCTCTGCGAGAAAATCAAGGGAGCTGATTCACCAGTGAAATCAGGAAACGGGTCGTCATGTTCATGGAGAGGCTGTCGATTCCGCGATCGGCAGCCGTTTAATTCTGGAATACTGAATGGGTCCGTCAGGCTGCGTAAGTCTTGCCCGAGTCTTCCATTCATAGATTTTCTTGCTATCCGGCACTTTTTCCACTCGTGTGTTGATTTAATTCAGAGATCTATCAGCGACGGAAACTTGAGAAATCCTTAGCGGCAGGAGCAAGCGCTTTAGACTTTAGACTGCGTCGCCGTCTTCGTCTTCTTCTGTTCGTGCGTGAATATGCTTGTGCGGCGACGAGTCCGCCAAACAAACGATTCAAGCTGACCACAGGTAAAACTGCGCGCAGTCCTCGAAAGCTTCGTCGACTAGTTAGCCAGTCAACCGGTTTCTCGGACAGTCGCCCTATGCGTTCGCGTGCAAGAGTTTCCGCATACTGCTGGACCTCGTTCGCGTTCCCGAAGCGTTCACGATTTGTTCACAGACGACTGCTGAAGTCAGCTGCGCATCGTCAACGTCTTATCTCCGAGCCGATAAGGAGTAATCTGGTGACGGATCCGTCCCGGGAAGAGAAATGGCGAAGGAGAAGCATTTTCTAAGGTTTTTTTTGTCAATGATAATGCGGTGCAGCGCTTTCATTTAAACTCCCGCTGGCCAGCGTATCATTGTCTTCGGAACGTTTCAATCCTTCGCTCCAAGCGCCAAGGACTCAACGCCTCCGTGTGATATGCCAGAAGTAGCAGGACTTTGGATTCACTTTTCGCTGTCCGAGCCTCGCTGAAGATTCGTCTCTGCTTCTGTTCTCACCGTTCTCTGGTCGATCTTCGCTTTGACTCTTCCACGTATCATCCTGGCTGTAGCTGATCGAGACTTTCATGACTATTCCAGGAGCTCTTCGGCTCCTCATCGATTTGCGACGCATTGTTCAATTCAAGCGATAGTCACCTTCGGGTAAAGCCGAAACCTCTCGGAGATATTTTTGCGCCAATAAATGCAGGAATAATATCGGATAGTATCCTCGTGTCGATTTCTGATAGAACGTCTCAGGGGACCCCATTACCTGGATGGATCCGACGAGGAGCAGGTGAGGCATCCAAGCTGCTTGATTCCTAATCCTCCTGGACCGATTCTCCATACAGAGTGCTCCGATCGACAAGGCGAGTGACTCTAGACCTCTGGACGTCCAAGCCTCGGGATGCCAGTGAAATGCGAGATCTGGATGACGATGCGTCATTTCAGAAATTTGTCAACATGTCCATCCACTGTCTGACTCACCTACGGGTAAGAGCGGGTTGTGTACCGCGTTGTAATCACCGCAGAGCTGGATGTGCGGTATCCGTTCTAGAGCCGCTTTTTCCGCAAAATATTTTTCCGTAGCTGATATACTGCGTCGTATCGTTCTCAGAAGGATCGTGTAGCTCCTCACCTTGCGACGGAACTGCCAGAAGCCTAGGATTGTATTCAAGGTAGCGACATGTTAATCGACGTATACACACATAAGCGCAGTTGCCCCAATCTGTCTATCCATCATGGCCGGAAAGTCTTGTTTCCTCGTCAGGTAGGCTGAAACCACGAGGTCAACTTCGTGAGTCTCACGGAAACATCGAGCTAAACACTGTCTGATCCACTGAGCGTTTACTCTGCGACGCCGGACTAGGTCAGAACCTACCCGACCCAACCCGTACATCGTGCCTCTCGATAAGCCTTGTTCAGGCGTCCGTTGGATTGCAGCGGAACGACTGAAGACTCTCCTCGGATCTTCTCCTTGCTCTTCGATAGATTCACCTAGGAGAGAGAAGTTCCCGAACTCGGGAGGAAACTCCAATTTGAAATACGAAGTCCCTCATTTGTCCACAAAAGATCTGAATGCATCCAAAGGGAAATCTCTCCCGAGGAAAACCATTCCAGCGAGAGAAGCGACTCTAAATACAGAATCTAGCGACCGATTCTGGCAGCGAATGAGCGCTTCCTACTTCGATGCCACATCTGCTCAGTCAGCTACGCCCCCGGAAACGGATAGACTGAGCCAGACAGAACTTCGCTGGCGCGGTTCAGCCCGGTCACAATCCACAAATCTGCTGGATCGGTTCGTCGATAAAACAGACGAAATCCTTGCTAGGGACCGTTTTTCACGAAAATTCTGTCATTCTCCGACTCGCCTCCTTCCCGATTGCTATCGAAGCGGACGGCAGCCTCGGACCCCGGATCGGCCAGAACTTTTCGAGATATAAGACTCTGAAAAGCAATCCATGTAGCGAATTTCACTTGCTCGGAAACGTCACTGTTCCGGAGAATCCTCGCTTGGGACGTCGCCCTCGATGAGGGATGATATCGACGACAAGAGGGAGGCTCTCCATCCGGCGCACAATTTCGAGAAGAGCTGCGATGCATCGCGACCCGCGTTCTTCTCAACTGATCCTTGATCCGATCTCTGATGTCAATCATTATCACATATCACCGATCCTTGCTTAGCGTATCGCGCCGAGACTTCCTCGGGGCAGACGTCGCTTCTTCTCTCTGCTCGGACGAGAGTCTCCGTCGCCCTCCTTCGAACATGGACATGAAACAGGAAATGGAACTTCGGGTCTGAAGTCTTGCGAGGAGTAACGCAGCAGGAAAGCAGTCCTATTCGGGCAACATATCATCACTCCAAATGAGCTTTCACGTTTATTACGCGACGGCGGAGTAAGTTGATCCTGATACGCTCCTGAGCGGTTGAGGGAGTTCGTCGCAAGTCCGACACTGTCACTTCGGGGTCGCATCGAGGAATCTCGAATACCGCCTCTCCAAGGCCCCGTTCCCAAGTTCAAGAGCTGTCCAAGGACGGCTGGCGCTCCATTGCCCCGCTGAGGAGCGATTGGTACTCTCAGAAGGATCGGCGCCGATTCCCGACGCCGACGGCCCTCAGGCAGACAATGAAGAGTTATTAGGAGCTGTAAGGTCCTACCGAGATGGTCGCTGTCACTTACACAATCATGGTCCTGGTGTCTAGTTGTGGTGAATAACCTCGTTTCTAAGAATAGAATCGAGACAGATTGCGAAAGTGGAAATCACGAAGAGAGAGACAGAGAATCGTAGAAAGAGTATCAAATTTTCGAATCCCTCTAAAAGATTTTGAAAACATGACCTCAGGTTGTCACTCCGCTGGTCTCGACTGTGGCGGTCGGCGGGATGCGGGAATCATTCGGACGGGATCTTTTTCCAGGATCCTCCCACTTCTCCGATGGCTGCAATCAACTCACTGGTTTCTCAGTACCAAAACTTCTGCTTGTTATTTATTTCTTCATTATGTTCTTCTATGTGTCCGCATCCTCCTCCATTGAGAATATTGTATTTAGTGATTCTCCGTAGACCACACTATCTATGACACATGGTCTTTCCCCGATTAACTCCGAAAGACGGGGGACGACGCTTCATTTTCATCATCGTTTGAATCCTTCGGTATTCTGTTGACGTCTCTGCCTGCTTGGGTTTTGACTGGCGCAGATTTTGCCTCGTTCACTTAGTTCGATCTACCTCGCATCTCACTAGCCGTGCACTGTGAATCCGTAACCGATAGTTTGCTGCTGCTGCTGTATGGGTTGCGGTTGGCCGTTCACGGTGCGTTTCTTGACGACACCGTCTTCGATAACAGTAACGGTCTCCTGGCCGTTCTCGAGCACTTTCTGAGTCTCAATTTTCCTACCCCCGACGAATCTCGTCGACGTCGAGGTCCTTCGCATGCCGGGTCCCATGCCCCCAATGCTCACGCTACTCGTGGTGAAGGTTGTCACTCCACCGTTGGCCATGCTGGACATGTCCATTGGCGCCGCGGCAAGCTGAGTGAAGAGCGTGCCGAACCCTCCCATCATGGGCATTCCCATGGGCAGCATCCCAAGTCCGTTGAAGCCCATGAACGGGTTGAAAACGTCGTCGATTCTCTGGACACCTTGTTGTTGTTGTTGTTGCTGGTATTGTCGGCCGTGAGCGGCTCGGGAGTTCCGAACACCGGCATTTAGGAACGCTGTATCGGTCTGTCCGAATAGGCCGAGGGGATCCGCTCCGAAAGGATCTCCGAACGAATCGTTGCCGAAGAAGTCGCGGAACACCTCGAAAGGATCTCGGAAACCAAACGATGCGAAAAGGTCGTCCACTCCCGCGTGGGGCGAATAGGGATGATGTCGGCTCGAGGATCCGGCGCGGGGACCGGCTCCGTTGTTGGAGAGACCGTCTTTTCCGTAGCGATCGTAGATGCGCCGTTTTTTCTCATCGGAAAGCACTTCGTATGCTTCAGAGATCTCCTTAAAACGACGCTCCGCTTCGTCCTTGTTGTTCGGATTCTTGTCGGGATGCCATTTAAGCGCGAGTTTCCGGTATGCTTTCTTTACCTCCTCAGGGCTGGCGGTCCTGCTGAGTTCCAGGACGACGTAGTAACACTTGCTCCTGTGCGGCATTGTGAGACGTGTGACGGATTCCGTATAGGCCACGCGAGAGAATCTACTTCAGCGACCGATACACAATAAACCGGTGAACGACGTCGATGTCGAGAATGCGAATGAAAACTCGTACGAATCCCGACGCGCTGTTCGACACTGGACGCCTCCGACTACCGAGAGCGATTTATGCACTTCGTCGTTCTCGGCCGAAACTTCTAGAACAAGGTGCCGTTACACAGAGCCTCCGTCAACGCCTGGCTTAGAACGCAATCTATCCCACCGCTGGCTCCACGGTAGGTGATCCGGATCTCGGCAGTTGGGTATATTGTTCGATTTTCAGCTAGCTTGCTTGAAAGAACGAGCGCTCTGCCACTGAACGATCCCGATGTCGTAGATTCAGGATGCGATCGAAGCTCCCGGAGTTGAACCTAATTCCTATCGCTCAGGGGTGAGGATCCCCATGAAAGTCACCAAAGAATACTCCAGAGGCTTTGAAATCACAATTCCGACGCACGGAGCACGCCTTCTCGCAAGATGAAAGTTCACTGATGTTCGAGAACGTGGAGAAGCACAAACACTCGCACCGCCACCTATCCGAGAGAGAGCGAGAGAACTTGATACGCAGACAAGTTGATTTGTTTTGAGATCAGACTGGGCGAGCGAGAACCAATCCGACGAACCGATCTCGGAGCTCGAGGTTGTCGATTGAGACCGTTCCGCTGGAATCCGTGTGAAGCTCGTTGACGTGAGGGACACAGACTTCGTCGACAGCTGCTGTTCGCTAGGCAGCTAGTTGTAGTAGTTGCGAGAAGCCATTACGGCACTTTACGCTGTTGGCTTCGTCATTCGCTAGTTGTCCCAGCAGCAGCCTTCGGCTAGCAGCGAAAACTTCACTCCTGCGTGCTGGCTGTCCCGATGGCTTGTGCTTGTTCCCGCAGCAGCTCACTCAGCTCTTTCGACACACAAAACACTCACACGCACGGGTACACACTCACAAGCGCACCACGACTATCGCCACAGCAACCGCATCGCCGTCCAATCCAAAATGGCGACTTCAAGCCGTTCTGCCGACACCAGTCTACGCGTTTCTATCGTGGCTCGGCTATTCGAATGTCACCAGAGCGCGGACCGTGGGAATGGTGGAGCCGTCTCGCCTTTCTCCGGTCTACGTCACCGATCGATGCGAGTGCGAATAGGGAGAGGGCTACTGGCGCCGCTGCACGCAAGGATAGCTGACAGAGTGGTGGGCACCGTAAGCGAGCCCACCGATAGCTTTCTAGACTTCTAGCCTGCTGCTCGCCAGCCGGGATGACAGAATGATATGCAAACGTCCGCGGTCTATTGATGTGATTTTCAACCGTGCTGAACGGGATAGCTGTTGTTTCTCGGCGCTGATATCGAAGGCAACAGCGAATACCGACTCAAACTGCGGCATGTGAAGTTGAGGCGATATGTGCGCCCATGGGCTCGAGTCTACTTATTTATGCTCGGCCTCTCTCAGAGAATTCTTGAATCTTCGCCGCTAATTCCGCTCTCGCTCGCCTTTTTCCGCCAGGACCCCATCTTAGGGAGGTCATGGATCCTGTGCGCGAGAAGGGGGCGGGGGCTCTCACTCCGAGGAGCGCGAGATCACTCTGATCATTGAACAGAATCCCCCAGAAGCGTCTTCGCGAGTTGAACGAGCGGATCTGAAACGAGCTGTTCTACGAGCGGTCCTAAGCCATTATTCTGACGATATGTCTGTCGACTAGCCTAAAAGCGAGCACATGTTTCGAAAGTTGATACTTGAGAGTGCGTCTTTTCAGGCTGAAAGCCGCCATCAACCGCGCTTCTGTTCGACGGAGACATTGAATATTTTCGAAGAATTCAATTCCAACATTCCGGATATTCGATTCGAGGCCCCCGATTCCAGACATCGCATTCCACAAAGCCGAGATGATCGGTGTTTTCGATTATGCTGCGTGGAGCAAATATCGAAATCGCTATATTTTCAGAGGGCAGGGTAACTCGCTGACGACGGGATTGGTGCAAAAAAAAACTCGACGTGCCCGTTTATTCTCTCATGCTGGATGGAATCGAGCCCATCAATACCGTTTGCGATCAGCGATTAATTAAAGTCACTCACATACTTATCGAATTGAGCTCTCGCAAAACGAATGCCCAAGACAAAGACAAACTCTCAGCGTATCGAGAATTTCGAAGCCCAATGTATGGATTCGGAGGCGACGAGTCCCGGAAGCAGAACGTCATCAAGTGTTATGCGTGTATGCTCGTTCGCAAGTTTGCGAAGGTCACATCTATTTGAACGAATTTGAAGGTCGTCCCCACAGCCGCTAATCATATCTACGTTGTGGATAACCGAACTCATTTTCTCTATGTAAATTACGTCTGGGTTTCCGCTTCGGAGACTCCGACGGATTTCTTAGCAGCGCGTGAGGAGATCATTTTTATATTCGCCGCCGCCGGTCTTCCCGATGACTCGCATGCTGATCCCGCAACCTGGTCCGCTTCCATTTCGAGCGTACGCAACGAATCGAACGTTGGCGTTGTTTGGAAGGAGCATTCAATCACGAGACTTCATTCGCGGCAATCAAGGAATGGACTTTCAAACGTCTCGCGCGATCCCTGGTCGATCCCTCGGAGTCTTCAAATTCTCCTCGGGAATCTAGATTGAGTCCCCGCAGAAAATTGAATAAAGTCTTCCGAGAGAACTCCAATGCCCGCCATCGAGTCGAAAGCTACTGGGAGATTCGGTCGACGTCACAGACTCCTCTGCTTCGATCGAAACACCGCTTATGATGGAAGCCCGCGCGACTTCGAGTGCCGTCGGAGAGCGAACTGTCGGAGAGAAAAATTCAGGTTATCAGCCGGGCGGAGATCCTCATCGGGATCCGGAACGAATGTTCGGCGAGGAAATAAATATCCCGCGCCCTATAGGGGATATGTCTCGGAAACCTCGACGCTACCGACGCAGGCCATTGACGAGATTTTGCACACCGTGCCCGTCCCTGGAGGCTTGCTCTGAATTTCGCCTTCTCCCGGAGTGTTGTCGAAATTGACGACAATCTCCGATGGAAAGTTCTTCGCCTCTCAGTGGGACGGCATCTGTGAGGGCATTATCTAACTCGAGGGCATCAGATCCCCGGGAAGCTCATCCCAGGGAGTTTCGGGTGGCAATATCGAGGCAACGTTCGAAGGCGGAAAACAAAATTCTGCCGCTCACTTCATTCCCGGAAAATTGTTCCCTCAAATCCCGTTTCCTTGTTTCGGACTTCGAGCCCGAAATGTTCCCAATACGAAGTATCAAGGAAACCTCCCTGGAATATGGGCCAAGCCATTTGCCGCTCAGCTGTCGTTCCGAATGCCGTTCGAAATATCCGGCGAATCCCGTGTTCCGTCGGGCGCGTAGTCGAAGCGCAGCAGAAGACATCATGAATGAGAGAGTCATCACGACGAAAGCGAAAAGCATCTGCGGAGAAAGTGTTTTCCCTTCGTCGTCATTCTCTCTTTCGGCCACGAACACACGCAAATGACCAGATCTTACTGGTCGTGCAATAGCCAGTGACCTTCTTATTCCTCTCGTCTGTCCCGAAAGAAAGAACCGTTGTGTTTGTGTCGTGATCACGATCGCCCAAAACACGAGGACAGTCAGCTACTGATTCCCAGAGGTCGCCGAGGATGCCATCGCTCGCGGTACCGGAGGAGCAGCGAAAAACTCCTGTGTGGACCGAGGGTTCCGGCAACGGCGCAAAGATCCCTCCGTTCCCGATTCTCTCCATTGTCGAAATTATTCCAAATGAGTAAGATTTCGAGTTTGGATTCCTCTAATCCCAGGGGGCGAGTTCGCCCAAAAATTTCCGTCGGAGTCGGTCTGTCAGCCTCGAAGACGGCGACCAAATTCGACTGGTCACCCGCTCCATCAAATAAGGGCTCAGCGACCCACGCGAGCATGGGATGAGCTGAAAGACCTAAAACCTGAACCAGAAGCGGCGTCCCACGACGTCCGTCCTGAGGGTAAATCATCGTGATGAGAGCCACTGCGACTGCCAGCAGCGAATTTACGGACAGGTGTCCGTGACGTTCTCTTACGACGATCACCAACAGCAAACAGAACCAATAAGATACAAACACACAATAGAGCCGCCAGTCGATGTCTCGTCCGGCCGCTTAGTTGGCTGACGCCTCGCGCCGCCGAACGAGCGCATCCGTCAGACACACTGACCCAATACCCTGACTTAGTTAATAATGCTCCAGCGATCGAAAACCCGGTCCATATTTCGCGAGAACCGAGCTTGGTTCGAAGGGATTGCTCCCTCGGAGCTCGAGGACCTCGAAGTTTGTCGGACGTATCACTCCGCATGATTCGGAAGCTTCCCAAGCCGTTACCTCTGTCGCGAGTCACTACCCGCTACCGGAATCGAGCAACTCCGGCGTCGCCTGTTCTAGGAGCCTCGGGATCGTGGCAGCGATCCGCCGGTTTGCGGGAATGGGCCTCACCCCGGGATGACACCTGTTGAGTGCGAGTGACTTAGAGTCTACGACAGAGACGACTCGAGGTTGATGGGCTCTCACCTCGTGACTGACTTTCACCGCCTGGCCTTCGAATGTCAGCGCTGACTCGTCCAGAGAAAGCCCGTTCTCGAACTCTGATGCAATCGGGTCATCAAGAGAACCCTTCTGGTCCTGCGAGCTTGCTGGGGGGTATTTGAACCCTTGTCCATTTCATTCGAAGCCGATCCCGAAGGATTGGGTTGAGCGCATACAATGCCGGATGTCCCTTTCGGAACAGCGAGATGGGTCGTTGCGGGACAGCTGATCCGGAGGAACAGATCAGGTATGCGTAGCCTGCTCGTCATCAGACGTCGATGATGGAAGGAGCGACCGGCTGTTTACTTCGTCAATTTATGCTGCTATGACAAACAGAGCATGAGGATTCTGAACTGTGTCACCTTGCGGAACTGAGCCGGATGTAAATTAAACAGCGATGAATGAAAGTGTTAAGGCGGCAGCAGCGACAACCAAGTCAAACTTAAAAGAGCATCAGCGATGTGATCTGACATGTCCATCATGAGGAGCCGCCTTCCCTTGGGTTCCCCCGAAGACAGGATCAACAATGAGGGCCGTGAGCTTGTCCCACGCTGAAGTTTTTTATGGGTTTTGAGCTGAAGAATCGGGAGGTCCGCGAATGAATTCGGCCTTTTCCGTGACAGATGCGGATCGCGTCACTTCCCCTTCGAAACCACATCAATTTTATATGCCACCTCTGAATGTGGGAAGGAGACGAATGGGTTTGTTCTGGGCGCATTGAGTCTCTCAGTCCGCCGACTCTACCCCCTTCCACCAAGCCCCGGATCACCAGTCTTATTGTACGACTCTCACTGCATGAAAATACCCTCGATGATAATAATCCTTCCGTTGTCCCACCATTTGAGATTTTGGAAGTCAAGAAGAGCAAAAGACGAGAACGGGAATGACTCGCTCGCCAAGTTTGAGCGAAAAGGCGAAGTGAGGAAGAATGAAAATCTTTGTCCTACTTCGGCGCGGACTTCATTCGAAAGTCATAACACTTCGGGATCATTTTGCTTCAGAAACATTGGAGCGAAGGGGCCGCTGATGGGGCCGATTTTTGAGCGACTGCCGGAACCGGAAACTCCATCCAACTCCGGTCGACTCCTCCATCATGACAACTTAGTTAGATCGTATCGATCCTAGGGAAGTAGCCGACTCAGGCAGGGCAAGGAGGGTCTGACTCCCGAAGGGTTAGAAGACTGTTAGAAGGCTCGACTCCGATGAAAATACAAATATGACAAAAGCTTCAGCCGGCAGTGTGCATTGAAATCTAATGTCAGGTTCGGTTTTGAGGAAATGTGTCAGAACGAAACTCTATTGCGGATGACAGACGACGCTCAGACGGTCGCATCGGCATGACTTGTCCAGAATTCGCTCCAAAAGCTTCGTGAATAGCGCAGTGCATGTAGGACACAGTCCCTCCCCGCGGTCTGACATCGGATTGAGCAGCGGCGTGAAAGTCGGACCACGAATCGACGCTCTACGTGGGCGAACTTTCTGGATGCCGCCGACTTCTATAGTTTCATCTCGAAATCCACAAAAGATTAGTCGGAGCGACCGTCTGGAACTTTTCTTCGGACCGACGCGGCTCCCGTACATTGTGTTCATTGAAGTTCTCAAGCCGTGTCAACGGACCACAAGTGGATTAGACTTTCGGAGAAGGACGGATTGGCTTCGCCGCTTCATCCCGAGAACAAGGGAAGCGCATGAAGTCGTCGCAGTACAGGGACATCTGTTTTGACATCGAGACCCCGAGGACCGAATCCGCATCCGACTCCGGGAGAAGATTTCGACTCGTATACCTGTCAAATTGAGATTTTCTCACGTTCCGGATAATCGACGACTCCGATCGGCGGCGGATCTCGACTCGATAAGACGACCGGGAGCTATCAGAAAGATTCTTTGGTCAGAAGCCGGCAGTAGATTGCATCTTCTCTCATCACTCACGCCGGAATTATCGATGTTGAGCTCCGTCTGACGGGGAAACTATCGTATTCATTTTTGGATCCGGATGCGGGATTTCATGCGAGCTGGGACTAGTTCTCTTTGATTCGGAACAGAAATCAATCACCCATAATTGTCAAAAAAAATTCTTGGCGAGGGAACGAGCGAGCGGAACGAGCAAATGTTAGTCACAGGTACCCACTACCAGATAGTTTGCGACGGGTAAGGTCTAGTCGGCAATAATCTACACGCTGTCTCTCAATAACACACTGGGAGTATCTCCCAATGGCCTCTTTTTTAGAACCTGATTGCTTCTGAATTCCCGTCGGGAGTGCGGGGTATCAGGAAGAAGTATAGGGGCTTGGAGACCGCGATCGACGGAGGACCCCACTATTCAGAGTCTAGTGCTGTGATGCTCATACGAAAATCAACCCGACGGAACTCAGATCAAGAGAGCGTCCCCCCTTTCCCACGGAGGCCGAGATTGAGGGAGCCTCGAGTCTCCAAGCGGCTCGCCGCGAGCGATTTCCCTGATTGTGCACCGGTGGGACTCTTGCCCCCTCTCGGAAGCGCGAATTCAGATAGGAGGAAGACTACTTCGACCTGAGCCGCACGGATCAGGGCACCAGAGACGCTCGGAAGGCTGATTGCGAGACATCATGAACAGGACTTTGTGTTACAGATCCGAGGTGGGAACTAAGCGCTTCTCAAGCGCAACCCGTGATGCAAGCAGAGAGCGTGGAGGTCGCCCTCCCTGAGTCATCAGACGATCTGCTCAGCAGGGAGAGGCTCGAAGGATGTCGTAGTCGTAAAGAGGTCGAGCCTCGAAAGACGGCACGAAATAGTGACACGACCGTTTATGCATGACTCGAATTCACTAAGCTGTCGAATCTCCGCGCCAGATGACAGATAAGCGAAGAGAGCACATTCTCATCATTACGCTGGAATGCGAGAAGTAATCATTCCATACGGCGCGAGGCGCCTCCACCAGGGAGGCTCCGATTCTCGAATGAACGGCGATGGGTCGGAGCCGCGCCGTGAGAGAAAGCGACATTCCAGCCTGAACGAGCGATATCCAGAATGTCTGATTGAGGACCAGCTTGGAAAACGAAAATCCGGACCGCACTTCGGTATGATACACAGAAGGCATTTTGATGCGAAAATGAGGTTGAATCTCACAATCTGTGATTTTCTCTATAGATCAGACCGACCGGAGCCAATGGAACTCTGGGTATCCGTGAGACCCAGCCTGGAGACCACGGCGGGGGAGGGTACCTCATCTTTTCTGGGCCTCATCACATACGGTGGCAATTTCTGCTGCAGCCCCCCCGATCCGCGAGCGGCGATCACCGTTCGGAACGGAGTATGTGGAATAGACACGGTGTCTTCCCCGATTGGCCGTATCGAGATGCGAGCCGGGCTCTCTGATGAGAATGAGCCGGCGCTCTCGGGATGGGAGGGGTTTCCATGAAGCTCACCAAAATCTTCCTTTTTTCATTTCTTGTCTTCAATTCCACTTCGATAGCCGTCCAACTCTCTGCCTTCAGTTTCCGGGAGTCAGGGAGAGTTTCCGGGAGCCGGAGGAGAGATTCTACTTCGCGAGATGCCTCTACGAGGCGCGATGAGAGGTAAGAAAGACGAGAGAAATCCATATGGCGTTCCACGCTCGAAGGGGACACTGAAGACAGCTGAATGATGGTCGAAGGATTGATGAGGCACACTAATTCGGGCTAATCCGGCGCCCTCGCGAGGACCAAGCCGATATCGCGTTGGAGGGCATGAAGAACGTAGAACATCAGCCACTTCATTCGGATAAGAAAAGGAAGACCAGACGCAGTGGCAAGGAGGACTCGCGAGTGATGAATTGACGCAGGTTGCGCATATTCTCCGAGAATTTTCTGCGAACCCCTCGTGTTGATACGGCCGATCGAGCGAGTCCGGAGTGACTCTCGTGGAGACATTCTCGGATGATTTCTCAATTCGACTTCCGAACGAAACTCTCGATCACGACAGTTCGGCGAATCTCTACCGCTGCAAAAAGAAGCGAGATTGATAGCACGCAAGGCTAGGTCGCGAGGGTGCTTGAAACACGGCTTTTATTTCCGCGGTTTCCGTCATAACAATAAAGTGTACACATGGTGAGTTCAGACGGTGCGGTCGCCTAGACTTCTTGCGCGATTTTTCGCTCGTCCTCGCCGGACTCCATCTCCTCGTCCGACTCCGCTTGCTCGACGGTGACTTTCTCTTTCTTCTTCTCTCCGGCGCAAGCACTCCTGATGAGGCAGAGATCTCTTTCGACCTCTTTGAAGTCGCGCTCCTTCTCGAGTTCACGACCTTTCTTCAACCTGCAAGGGAAGCGATCATTCAGCTAAATTTGGTGTCTCGACATATGCGGATCATGGCCGCGGGGTGGAGCTTCCGGATTTTATCTGAATCCATGCTAGTCGATAACCACTGAGGAAGAATGGCTGGAGGGAGGGGACTTGCTCTCCCGAATCTTTCTCGCTGGAAAATTTTGCGAATCTTGTGAGGAAGGAAAGAATTTCCGGCATGCATACGGGATAAGCCTCTCGTGGTCTTCGGAACCATCGAAGACTGCGCATTCGAGTTCGATCCTCCCAGGATCAAACTCTCCGACAATAATTTCCGGAGTGATACCACAATGACCTTGTAACGGGTTCCAAGGGAAGCACCAGTTTCAGAGACGGTTGCCGAATTCGAACGGCCGAGCGGATTATGAATATTGAACCTGTCAACAGAGGTAGCCTTCCGACAACAGAGACGCTGTCCTAATAGATGAGCAGCGACGTGGACTCACCTATTCATTATGAAGTGTGCCTCGCGTTTCTCGCGGATTTCAACGATCTTTTCCATCGCTCCAATCGCGTTCTGCCACAATTCTCTGTTGTATTTGACGGGGCGGTTTCTTCTCTTCTCGAGCTCGAAGACGGGATCCACGATGAGCTCTTTGCCGTGCGCTTTCCGCCAGGCCTTGGTCCAGCGAAGTTTACGCGGGTTCTTCTTGCGTTTGAACATTCTATGGCATTTCGAGCGACAGAATTTGAAGATCTGCGGATAAAGCCGAAGTTCCCCGTCTTAGATGCGTGGGTGACGATTCCATCTCCTAAAGAACGCCTCTTGTATTCATTCGCTCCGAGTAACCAGACCGTCGATGTTTGACAACGATGATGACCGCTGTTGGGAGCGACAAGCAAGAGCAGGGCTTGCCCAGTCCTCTACCGAGAGACGTCGGACTACCAAAAGAATCGAGGCCAAAAAGTATAAAAGTTCACTGAAGGCTCGGAGCCGCAGTCATACTTGATTCGAAGGCACAAGATATCCAGAACGGTCCTTGTGGAAGTTCAGGGCTATGTGGTGAGCCTGAGACCCCACCGGATTCGACGGACAGAGATTCACAAGGTCGAATGAGTGGCCTCTGTCTGGGGCACTACAGCTCGAAAAACCTCTGAGATCACCGAGGGACGCTGCTCTGAACTTTCAGAATCGTCGAGCCGTGTCAAAGGACCCGAAAAAATATATATCCGAGAGACAACCCTGCCTGACTAGGTTAAATCATTCCTTTGGAGCGGAGAGGGCTCGAAAACATGATGGGATCACCTATCGAGCACGAACACCAATGTTTTCGATTCTAGGTCAATGAGATTGTCGTATCAGCAGAAAACGCGGAATTCAAAAAGAGACTCGAGATGCGAAGGGGATGTCAGTGCGGTCATTCACGCCGGTGTGCCTCCGTATGCCTCAGTTTCGTCCCATTCGATCCGAATTCAGGGCCGTTGTTGGGAGTCGATGAGCTCCCCCGGGCTCCCCGAAGTAATCCAAGCCGAACTGCACATAACGTTCAAGAGAAAGTACAGTCTTCTGCGAACTCATATATCTGCGCATGAGACTTCTCTGAGTTTGACCAAGTGAAGTCGGTGAAAGTTTTGACAAGTCTCACCTTGCAATCGTTCCTGACAAACTGAACTCCGTGACCCGGGTACATGGGTCCGGAACAAAAATAACACTTTTCTATGCGCATTTCTGGAGATTTTGCACAATATTCGACTTGTGCTCCACTCAAGCAAATAGAAATAAAGAGAAAACGTGCTGTCTGAATCGTCTGCTCTGCTTACAAGCAGCGTGTTCCGCCGACCTGGCGGTCGATGCTGTTTCGCCTATGGGAGCGAGTTGGTGCCACAGATGAAGGAAGATTCGATTCTGCATGTGCCAGAGTCTGCGACAGCTCCCAATATGAGGGAATATCGAGCCCTGGGGTCACTCTCAGAAGAAGGAACGACAGGAAATACTCGGAGAAAAGGCATTTTCCAACGAGAAATAGACGATGAAGCATGATCTGTGCTTAGTGCTCATTCTCCTAATCGATCGAAGGGAATGGCAAATGGGCGGTTCTTCCTCTACGTCTCCAACTATGTACGGCCGCTATAAAGCCATGCGTTGCACGTCGCTCGTGACTCAAACCCGATGTATGATGCTCAGATCACAACGAGTCCGCGGGAGAATCCTAGAGGATGGATCCAAATGCTTACGGTTATCTTCCAATGAATGGATAATGATCGACTGGTCAAGTCACAGATCTCTCGTTCCGACCTCTGATTCTTTCAGTCTATTTTTCCGAATAAGAACCTGTCCAATCAGACGTTCGAATTAGAGAGATTCGCGGATTTTTCCGGCGGAAAGTATGTCGTCCGATGCCAGAAGTCTGGTAGTCTGGTCGGTTGACTAGTTCCAATGAAAGCTTCAAGCACAACTTTCGCTTGACACTGGCAGAAGGATAACTTGTGAAGCTTCATACTCAAGCGACAATACATGGAATCACTCCGAATCTATCCTCGACACAGATCAGGTTTCGAGTGCCGTGTAAGCCGATTTTTTTTAGAATTTAAGTGCCGAGGCCCATGCCCCGATCAGCGGATCCACACCAGTGTCCCAGCAGAGATCACCGTCACCATTGTCTTCACCACACTATATCCACTCTCCCGTCAACAGTTCGTTCGCAGAGTGTTTTTACCCCGCGTTATTTTCGTGCGTATTGTCCGTATAAACAGCAAACGCACAATTTTGAGCTGTCTCAATCATACAAACAAGTTCCCTGGATTTAAGGCCAGGATACTACGAGCCGATCCAAGGTATACACTGCTACCAGCACCTATCTGAGGGGACAGTCGAAACCCGGAGAATCTTTGTCTTTACTTGAGGCTCGCGGCGATTTTCTTGTATTCTTATACTATTTCTCGCAGGCAGCCAATAGTGAAGTGTCATGGAGGTTGAAGACGATTCTGCGGCCCCGGCCGCTGCTGCATCTGCGGAGGCATCGTGTGACGACAGCCGGCTAGTGATGGCGGGCCCATCAGTTCATCCCAGCGTGTCGGTTCAATTGCATCCTCTCGTCATAATGAACATCTCTGATCATTGGACTCGGATCCGAGCTCAGAACAACGGTCAAGCCGAACAGGTACCATGCCACCGTCAGGTCTTTGCCTACTAGTCGAAAAAATATGCAGGTCTTTCCGCGTGATAATGTCGAGAGCAATTAGCAAACTTCGACCGACGAAAGTACATCAGTAGAGCTGGGAGCTCTCGTGACGATGGGGCTCGACTCTATCGAAGGACAACTGATAGCGTACCTATTTGGTGATGACCTGAATTCTGAAATATTTAAGGTTTTCGGAGCACTCTTGGGTAAACAGCAAGGCCGGACGATCGAAGTTTTCAATTCCTTTGAGCTGAACATAGAGGGAACGCATTCGATCACCATTAATGTCGAGTTCCTCGAGAATCAACAGAAACAGTATCGCCAGGTCAGTATGCCGCTGCTCTACCGCACTGGACCGAAGACTACTCGGTCCGGGAAGCGGCTTCCGCACTCCCAGATAGAAGATGAGGGTCGGCAATTAGAAACCGATCGGCGATTCCCTCCCGATGCATTCTGAGCCGAGGTCCGCCTCCCCACAGGTATTCCAAGACCTGGAACTTGTCGGTTGGTACACCACTGGCGGTGAACCCACCGTCTCAGACGTGAAAGTCCATCAACAAATCTGTGCGTTCAATGATAGCGCGATCCTGATGAAACTGGATCCAACCGCGGGTCGTTCCAACCGCCTGCCTATCGCGATGTTTGAGTCCGTCATAGAGATGGTTGACAAGGTGAGTTTCTCGGGAAAATCTCAGCAGCATGTTTTGGTTCATTCGGCAAGTTCCGCGCGCCGGCGGCGCTAAGCTGAAATGCGATCAAACTCTCGTTGACTCCATGCCGAAACATACATATGCATCTCGGAACTTTCAGGAACCTTCAACGTTGTTCATCACTCTGCCGAATTCACTCGTCACGGAGGAAGGAGAGAGAATCGGACTCGACAACATGGCACGTCTGTCCGTTGCCGAGAGTCAGGATAACTCGCTCGCGTCACAACACCTGAGATCGCAGCACTGCGCCATCAAAATGCTACACAGCAGGATAAAAATTCTCCAACAGTACGTCAAAGCCGTCGAACAAGGAATTCTCGAACCCAACCGCTCGATACTGCGGGAAATCTTCAGTCTGTGCCGCCAACTGCCGGTCGTCGAAACCGACGAGTTTCGACGGGAGTTCCACATGCAGTGCAACGATGTTGCGTTGCAGACATTCCTCGCCACGCTAACTAAGTGTTGCGATTGCGTCAATACCTTCGTAAACAGCTTCAATGTGTTATACGATCGCAATAGTTTGTTGCGTCGCAAAAGACCGAATGTATAATTTGTAACGGAATCCTATTGTTGTGATTCGATCGCACAAAAGAGTCAGAAGGATGGGGGTCCGAGTGAAGCCGAGACTTCTCGTCCAGAAGAGGATTCGCCTGCCACCGAGAGCTCGAACGGCTGCCTGAGCCGACCCTCGGCGGTTCTCGAGATTTCCGACATGCGGTACTGAGAGCAGTGAGCATCCATTGAAACCCACTCCGAGACAAATACTTGGAGTCTGAGGCAGGAGCTCGCGTTCCTCGTCGACAGCGTCTGGGGATTTCAGTTAGCTCACTGGGGACAGTTCCCGGTGGAAACAATGTTGGGTGAATAAAATGTCGATTGATCGGAACCATCCATAAGGCGATTCTTTCATCCCGAGCTTTCGCCCATCTACCATCCTATACTTCCGATAATCATCAATAATAATAGCTAATTGATCGATTCTGAGAAGGAATCTCATCGTCTTTTTTATCACCATCAGAGTCAATTGTCCGGAACCGGGAACCGACCTCTTTGATGGAATACGTGCAAGATAGCATCGCAACCTCAATTGCCCCCACGGGTAAGGGAGTGGATCAGCCGAAAACGAAGCCGCGCCTAGGGGTCGCCACCCCCCTCTGCATCGAGCTCTCCCATTTTGTTCTTGGAAGCTCTTCCTGAAGTTCAGAATGCCGTAGAGGAGCTCGTTGCAGTCCGTCACCAGCCGCCCGACGATTGTAGCGAAGAAGTATTCACTCAAGAGGCTACTCAAATGAGAGAGGGCGTCTCCTGGAAGAATGAAGATTTCGTCCCTGCTACGAAAGTCAACCGAATGATTCCTGATGCACAGGGCTGAGGCCAGACCGCCGTCAATCTCCATTAGCACACCGTCCTCGGAATGACACGAACATCGCCGAGACGATACAGAGCGTAAGCGAATACCGTGTTGCTGCGCTGATCGTATCTTGATGGCATGCATCCCATGGATTCAAAGGATTACGTGGCCACAAAATCCGACTTCTCGGGGTCGGAGAGCTTCGTGCCTTGGAGCCGAGCATGTTTAAGTTCGCTCCATCCTTCGCCATGCTCATGCGTCGACGCGGATTCCGACTGGGATTTCTTCGCCTTGTCTTATGAAGATGCGTTTGAATGCAGTCAAGCTTCAGCAGGAAAAGAGATCCTTCAGACGGGGCAAATCAGACTGTGAGCTCCGCAGCTTCGAGTCCCGAATGTACGCCGGATGCAAGAACATTACGACTTCTGAGCCGCTACTCACAAAATACCAGAATACTCAGTCAGAATTCTTTTTGCCGTGCTCTTTCGACCAACGTCCGCCGGGGGACTCCGGTGGCCGTATGCTCGAAGGAGAATGATGATCCGTCCCGCGACCGACTTCCGGAAAAAAATGAAGCATCTTCGATGCCTCCATGAGGTACGCTTCATACAACCTGACCTCGACCTAAAACTTGCGGACGATGCTGGAATCTCGGTGAGATCTCCTGAATGATCCTGACAGGGGTGGCGCCGCCGAGCTCATCCCCCACTGAACATACGTATATCGCGGGAGCATGTATTGTACCCCGCGTCTTCAGGGGGAAAGTACGATGGATACATTGTGAGAGTCCCCCGGCAAAGTCCAGTGTGTACCCTGACTTTTGATCGCGAGAGATCGACTCTGGATGATTCAAGTGAGGTGAATAAATAGTTTTCGAGCTCTCCAGACGAAGCGTCGAACTGGAACGCTTAACTATCATTATCTGATCGCCTCAAAGTTATCCATCGTGATGCAACCGAGATCCACGAGGACGATGAGGACGCAACGGCGCAGGAGCGATCGAGATGCGTGACTAGCGTGACGCGCTCATTGGACAGTATGACGAGAACGCGTAGGAGTAGTGAATCAGAGTGGAATAACGATCGGAAAAGAAGGAGAGACCGCCGCATCCCGCCGGAGATCGTGACAGAGATCATCGGCATCATTCCATGCCTCCTACGACTACCGCCACTCCGAATTTTCTTGACACAGCTAGTCTCACTGGAACGTCTTCTCTATCAGCCTTGATTCGGGAAGCTGAACCTTGCCCCGTCGTTACCACCCAGGGCGGGGATCTCACGGCGACCGAGCATCGAAGTCGAATCGATGGCCCAGGACGAGCGGAGGTGGTCGGGCAGTGGCGCGGAGAAAAGAGTATCTTCTGCGTTTAGACAATCATCAGAGCTGTCGGCTCGAAAAGGGCGGCCAGCCCTATCGTCCGACGGTCGCGACCGGAATCATCCGTCATCGGCTTTTTTCTTTCGCTCATCCAGTTCCGTCATCTCGAAATCCAGGGGGTTCGCGCGGAAAGCCCCTGATCCACTGATGTGGTACTATTTCAGCCGCCGATTGCTACAGCGCCGTCGTCTGGCCGTTCGCCGCCGCCGCCGTTGTCGTCGTCGTTCCACTCACCACATAGCAGCCAGCAGCAGCAACGAAGAGCATTATTATAGTGATATTTGGAGAGACATAGTCGTCTCGGACGTAAGATTAGTTTCATCTGGTGTGACCAGGCCGGACAGATATGAGGTTTTTCTGAATAACTCAAACCGCTACCGACCGTATGGCTGCCCACATCAGCGCCGAACCCGTGCAGGTGAGGCATTTCTTTTGGCAACTAGGACAGTCGCAGGCCTGCCTTACGAGGACGGGTAGAAGGCATGATTTCGTGTTTTGGAGCAGTTCTGCGAATGCACAGAACTCGAGAGCCCGTGCGAGGGTGGAAATCGTGGGAGGGGCCGACTTTTTCTATTCCTTGGCGATCCGATTGCGAAAGAACTTCGTATCTTCTCCGCATCGGAACATGGTTGACTTCCTTTTGCTGTTGCCCAGGGCTCCGTTCGAAAGTGAATTCTGAATCATTCTACCGATGCAATCGCCCCCTAGTCGGAAACTGATGCCGAGTTAACTCGGGAGTGATTGTGCGTAGGAACGATTGAAATTAGGGGCCTCTAGAACGGTCCGAGTCGGATGGTGTGAGAATGTGATTGGGTTTTGACAGTGGTGAGCGAAGAAATACACCTTCGCTGTGAGGAGACGCAGATCGCGGCCGTGAGCTGATCGAGGGACTTTTGGAAGAACTCTAGCTTCGTTAAACAGCAGAGGATTCGAAAAAAGATATTCGTCATGTTTCAGCTTGACACATGTGTCAATCCGAAGTCTTAATGGGAATAGTTTGCGTCACGATCCAATACGCGATCCATCCTAAGTAACCTCATCGAAACGAAACCTGGATACGCCATCTATGAGCTCCCTTTGACTGTTTGTTTTTTACAGGCCGCAATTTGGCAATGCCTGAATAATCACCGGTTGGACGACGCCGTTTTCCTGTCGGAGCGCTTGCATGCCGAACTTAAATCAGATGAATCTCTGTATCTCCTCGGCACCTCCTACTATCGCGCCGGGAAATTCAAAGCAGTGAAGCTCATTCTGAATGGTGAGTCCCAGATCCGAGTGACATGAAGATTCCGAAACACGAATGGCCACGGCATCAAAACCTCCGCAAAATCAGAGTTTAATGCGATGAGTTCGCTCAAATTCAAATCCCCGCGAGGACAACGCGTCTCGTCGACTCGCTCTTCGGGAGATCTGTTCGTTCGAATATAGAGATAATCACGCGGCTCTGCCTTCTTTCAGAGTCTACTCACCCCCAATGTCGATACCTGTTGGCAAAGTGTTGTGTTGATTTGAATGATTTGGTCAAGGCAGAAGCTGCGCTCACGGGCAACGTACCGTTCGTCCAGGGTCAGAATATTGTCGAAGGCATTTGCAAGGTTTGTATCGTCTGGATCGACCCCTTGAACCTCTATCCCGACGAGTAGTTCCAGAGCTTCCCATCTTTTCAACGTCTCTCTATCCGCAGGCTTTCGGAGACAATGCATCTTTCGCCTTGAACCTTCTGGGTGAAATCTACAAGAACACGCGACGACCCGAAAGAGCAATCGAAGCTTATCAACAAAGTCTACGTCTGAACCCTTGTTTGTGGTCGTCGTTCGAAGCTCTGGTTCTCCTGGGGCAGAGACCCGAACCCTCACGGGTTTTTGCCGTCGCCAATAAGGACGTAGTTCTACATAATCTAGTCTCGACGCCCGTGGCTCCAGCCGCAGTCCAGCAGAATGTTTTGCACTGCAAGGACAACAACAAGAAGGACGACTCTGCTGAGCTCAATGTAAGTTGTTGCTCTGCTCGAATCCATCGTTGGTTCTTGGTTCCTTCAGAGAGAACGTGGGGCAGATCCTTCAGGGCTGAGTATCCGATCGACGTTTACAGGCCACTGTGATAACTGGACAGGACCTCAGCGGTATCAAGGAACTGACGCCCGATCCGTCCGGTACATCTGGGAGTTATGGTCTGTTCATAACTCCGCAGACACCCCTTCTCCACATCGCTGCACCGACTCCGATAAGAGCGGCTAGAATTCGAATCGACTCGGGAGCTCACCAGATCACCGCGTCGACTCCCATGTGAGTGTCGGAGCCCATCTTCTCTATGCTTCTGGTTTCCATCAGGAGCTCCGAATCGCGGTGGGACGCCACGGGAACTCGACATTGAGACCTGACGTGTTCACTTCAGGTTTGGATGTATGCAACCCGTGTCACAACAGCTGTTCACGAGTCCTGAGAGTATGGGTCCACCTTCTACTCCTTTCGGGGTCACCTGCGACCGCGCGGCAGTGACCCAGTCACCGGACACGGTGGAGATGGCTCCTTTGAAAAGGACCAAGAAGATCAACCAGCTCTTCGGACAGAGCACAAGTCACTCCCAAGCAACGTTAGCGATTTTCCCTTCCTCTCGATTCGTCCCAGGATCTTACGCCAATCTAGGGCTCATAGCAATAATTCGTCTCCTTCCAGCTCGAACGCGAATCCCCTCACTCCTCGCAGATCGACTCGTTTGTATACATCGAACTCGATCAAAGAGAATTCCTCGAAAGCTTCACCGCGAAGCAGCAGGATACTCTCGTCTTCTAACAGGACGCCGAGTAAGAAGAAACCGTCGCCGGAGAAAGGTCCACGATCTCCGTCGGAGCTCGTCGATGAGCTGAACAAGGTCAACGACGCTTTCAGCATGCAGATGAGCGTCGCCCAGATGCAGCGAAGTTCACTCAACGGTCTGATGCAGCTTCTGCAGTGTGTCGCGAAAGCTCTCATTCAGTTGAGCGACTTCAAGTGCCGGCAGGCCGTTCAGACTCTGATGAGTTTACCACCTCAACAGTTCGAGACGGGTTATGTTCTGTCCCTACTCGGGCAGTCGTACTTTGAACTCCGTGATTATGAGAGATGCAACGAGACGTTCGAGCACATGATGAAATTGTATCCATATTTTCTCACGGGACTGGAGTATTATTCGAGCTCTCTGTGGCACAAAATGCAGGAGAAGAAGCTCAGCTACCTCGCACAGACACTCGTCGAACTAGAACCCAATGCCCCTCAAACCCTTTGTGCGCTCGGTGAGTCTTCAATGAACAATCAATGAGATCATGCTTACGAGCGCATCATCGACGTAGGCTCAGATCTCCGTGTGCTAACTCTATTCGATTTCGTGCGTTCGAACAGGGAATTGCTTCTCGAGGCAGAAATTGCACAACTCGGCCGTCGAATGCTTGGAGAAAGCGTGCAAGATGCATCCACGGTTCCAGTATGCTTTCACGTTGCTTGGTCACGAGTTCGCGAACAACGAGGAACTCGAAAAAGCAATGCAGGTCTATAGGAAAGCCATCGCCGTTAACTCGAATTCATATCTCGTTTGGGGAGGTCTGGCCAGCGTCTACATGAAGCAGGTGAGAGAAAACTCGGAGAATGTCCTGATCGTCTCCAGAAAAAATCCCACCAAGCAAGCGAAATTGAAATCACGTCGACAAGGAAATCTCCCCGGAGCGAACAAGCATTTCATGCATTGAGGATTGAGACGATTCCCACCTATATCTTCCTCAGGAACAATATTCTCTGAGTGAATCGCACTGGAAGAAGGCCATATCCTACAACCCGGAAAACCCGACGTTGCTCGTTCATTTAGGAGTGGCCCTCCATCAGCAGAGTAAAACGTCCGAGGCGATTAGGATGCTAAGCAAAGCCATACATTTGGAGCCCAAGTTCGCTCTTGCCAAATTCCACAGAGCAACCGCCTATCTCGCCATGGACAGGTAGGAGTAGGACGGTCGTAGGGCAGGGACATTCATAAATATTCCTGAAAGATCCTACTTACGACTCAGATAGGTATATTCGACACTCGTACGGGAATTCGTTCAATTAAAATTGACTTCTCTTTCCACAGATGTCAGGAAGCCTTGTGCGACTTGAACGAGCTTCGGACAATAGCTCCCCACGAATCAATGGTCTATTATCTATTGGGGAAAGTTTATAAGAAACTGGGCAAAGAACACCTCGCCCTGATGAACTTGTCCCGAGCGACAGACATGGACCCGAGAGGCGCCTATACACAAATCAAGGAAAGCCTCGACCCTGTTCGCGAGAGCGATTCGGAAGAGAGATCGACTCCTCAATCGCCGGGGTTACTGCCAGAAGTCCCGAACACCCCGCACCATCATCACCATAGGAGCACCAGAGATCTCGCTCGGGAATTCGAGTTTTCGATAGGCGATCCGATCATTGCACGTGAATCTGAACTCACAATGGAGAGTGATGACAGTTTCTAGAACGGGGTCTGACTCCTCCTTTTTTAATAGTGAACGCGTGTAAATACCTGAGTTCGTAAGCCAAAGGTGGTGTTTTTAAATTCTGGCAGCGAGCGTCGAAGATCACGAGTCCCCTATTGATGGATTAGGAAATTGAAGTTCGCGGTACGGCTGAAAAAATTCCGAGCTTGGCTCATCCTGGTCGAATGATGGTCTTAACTCGTGAGAATGAACTGGAGCACGAACGGGGACAGAACCGTTCAGAGAAATGATTCGTCTGTGTGTGCCGCTGCTGTTTATGCAGCGTCGTTTAGTCCTGATATTTGATATCGCAATTTTTTCTCGGAAATTTCCAGGTGTCTTGAGTCGGTCCTCTGATGTACATGTAGTAGTAAGCTGAGTTGACGGGAGTCCTCTTCCGATCATTATATTTATTGAATAAAACAAGAGACTCTTGGTTGACGATGTCATTGTCGTACAGGTGCTGCAAGGAATCGCTCGAAGATTTCACTTGGTACTTTCACGGCTCGGATTTTCGTGGCCCATATGTCAGACCGTTCCAGGTCAGGTAAATCTTCCCAAGCAAGAACTCATGGGAAATTCAGCTCCACAAAAAGGACCAGTTGCTTCGTATTAGTCAGATAGTGTACCCCGAGTGCCTGACTGTTGAGTCGAGTTTGAGCTGCCGTCGCTCGTAGACACCCATAACGTGAGCTCGGGAAGCCGTCCATGCATCCCCGGAACGTAGCATATTACGCTTATGACATGATTGATAAGAGACTCTCATCCGGAATGTAAAGCTTCATTGTCGATTAATCATATGCGTAAGGTAGTTCAATGGATCATTCATCGCATAGCCGAGACTAAAGTGGGAGAGCGCCGCGAGAAATGCATCCATCTGCAAAAGGCACCTTCCATGATCTGAGAGGGTGCTATCAGATGGAGTTCGTCGTTGGAGAAAAGACTCGCTCCATGTGATATCGATGCAGTGAGCTTATAAGGAACATCGGCTATGGTCGCGAAGATACGACAGAGGGTGCACGCCAAGAGCTCCGAGGTTCAGGTGAGTTCAGAGCGGGCCAGCGGTACTTATGACAGTTCGTTCGAAATTCCTTGGACAGCATTTGAGGTTTCTAGGAATTCAACTCCTCCGAGGAAACGACAGGCGTTCGTGCCCAGTTTTCCGAGTCTAAGGGTGGGAGGTTCCTCGAGTCGATATCCTTCGATCGCCATCATTCTCTCCTCCTCGCTGTAATTCATTGCCCGGCAACAGAGGGGGCCGGGAGAGCTGTCAAGCTGCCTCGGACAATCGAAACTTTTCGCTGGCTCCCTCTTTAGATTCATTCCTCCCGAAGTTCTCGAATTTCCGTCGGAAGAAAATCTGTGCGCCCTTATTCGAAATATTAAGGACTCCGCAACGGCGTCTGGATTAGTGTACGTGGAGTATCGGCGGCTGCCCACTCTCCACTGCATCGTTTCTAGGACGGGCAAGAGCCGAGCATGTCGACCACAGTCAAATACCATCGCGTGGACGGCTACCGTGGCATCTGGAGGACTCGGGTAAATTCAGGATACGGATTTCTTAGTCGGTTCCTGCGCGGCCACACATCTGCCGAAAAGTCTATTGTTAGAGCTCTGATGCCTCTGAGGTCTCAGGAGAGACAAAGCTCAACGGGCCAGTAGATCCATGCTCGGTGGACTTCCGCAGTGCGCTTTGGGACCGCTTTGCTTGTCCTATGTTCGAGTATCCGCTGATCACACCTGCGGTGAATCGAGCTGCGCGAGGAAACATTGTCACCGGCTCCCTGACAACTCGTTCACCCGATGCCAGCGAGAGAATTCTTCGAAGATTCTTCGCTATTGAACTTCGATCCGGGTCATCCATCCCAAATCGAATGGCGAGGTATCGACTCAAGTTCCGGATATAAACTGTTCTAATTCAGTGAGCGGATTGGGGCAGGAATCCGCGGCTGTTTGGGGACCTCTCAATGATCTGGTTGAGGAACTCGAAAAATCGATCGGAATCAATTAATTGGTGGCTGCGGGCCAAGCTTATCAACCGACGAGATGGTCGTATTTTGAGCGCACTCACCGACAACGGCTGCACGAATGTGGCTCGCGCGAAGGAAGTTTCGACCCGAACCTGGCCACCAGCCAGTATGTTCCGTACCGGCTTTCGCCGTCATCCGGTGGGGCGGTCTACTTCCCCTCAATACCCGGCTGGAGGAGGCTAGCTGTGTGCATCCACCCTCGAAAAATTCCTTGAATGATCTTTTCCTTTCGCTAGCGCACGAACTCTCCCTCTCCTTGTAGGTTCTCCACCATCTTGCTCCCGGAGACGGCATGATGCCTCACGGATTCTTGACTAGGTGTGGAGATATCGCTTGAGTGGAGAGTTTCCGAACTTACCCCCAACCCCCCTACTCCCGATAGTTGTACATTCGATCCCCTTCGGTTGGGTGGATGATTGCCTCTGCAGTCACTGTCTCAAGACCTTGTAGGATACGGGAGTAAGCAGTAAAATCTTAGCTGCTGAGCTCTTGGTGGTGACGTTCCGTGCAGCCCTCTGGACGCCAGGAAACTCGGCCTCGTTCTTGATCTCTGTTTGATCGGCTAGTCTTGAGGTGATTTCAACACCATATTTACCGACGATCTCTCCTGAGCTTGATCATCGCCATCGGCTTCACGGAGAAGATGCTCAGGGAATCAAGCCAAACGACACACTTACCCACGGCTGTAGCCGATTTCGGTACGAATCTCCGTTCCAGAAGCCGATCCGGCTTCGGTGATCCTCTGGGAGGCTTTCCAGTCCATCCGAACGAGATCTTCCGATTACATCGCATCTTACCAAACCGCGAAAATGATACATTCGTATCCAATCGGATGCAGGAGGTCCAGGACCGGACGTGGATTTAGCGTCAGAAGCCGACTCCGGATACGCCCCTTCCGTACGCAAGAGCAGCAGCTGTTTCCATTTCTCGATTCGATGGTTCAGTCTAGAGAATCAGGAGAGCAATGGCTGTTATTCCGGGGCCCGACCCACGCAAACTACCGCAACGAGGAGGAATTTACGATTCCCGTGGAGGTACCTTCTGACTGTAAAACAGACTACTCGTTCCGGGACCGCTACGGTGGCTGCTCTTTCCCGCGCACCCTGTGACTCTCTCTTGTGACTCTGGTGTCACAGAAAGTGAGCTTTGTCGGAGTCTAACATCCGCTGTGATCTGAGCTCGATGTGATCTCTTGGCTGCCGGTTCAGAAAGGCCAACACCCTATTTGTACAGTTCACAGAAATGACCGTCGCCGATCCTGAAGTTGTTGTGAGTTGAAGAAAATCTTCCCATGCTCTATTCTCGCAGGCTTCGTTGATATTGAGCGCTCACGTGGCTCAAGGAAGCGTCGAAGTTGGGGACTCTCGCGCGCTTGAGAGCCCGTCCGATCTATGGTCCGACTCCAGCGAGATCGCCCTCATCCCTTTCCGATGTGGATACCTTCATGCCTCGATCTGGGACCCACGATCCGCAGTAAATTGGGATCCGGGTACTTGGCGGAACATCTTCAGCGTTCTGGACCGCGTGGAAATATTCGAGTGACATTTCTCGCATTCTGAGAGTATTTTATCGTTCGCATAATGAGACTTCTCGCCCTTGTTTCTAATTGAAGATGTAAATCTCTTCTCGCTGACTGAGACGTCACATGCATTTTCCGTTGATCACACCTCTTTCGCCTCGGCTCTTCAATTCTCCGAGGTAGCGGCATCACCTGTGTCTGATTGTCCGAGCGTATATTTCGGGAGATTATCGTGACAGTCTGACTGGTTTGCCATTCTCTCTGACAAAGAGTTATTTATCCTTAGACGATGTAAAAATATACCTTCTCATCTGCGTAGAACTAAAATGATGCTCGCCCCGGCGAGCATCTATGAATGACTGTAGTACATGTACTCGAGCCGGCAGGAACGGTTTGACCAGGAAATATGCAATTCGGGTCAGTCGAAACATTAAGGAGACGATCGAGATCTTTGAACGATGCTCCGACCCCGATGGCCGTCTGCTTGGAAGGACTCAAGTCTGATTTCTCTCTTTCTCCTTCAAGGCACCACCCCGTCGTGGACTCCGACGACCCCTAAATTCTAAAACCTATTTTTTCTATGGAGTGTTTGTTTTGGGGATCGTATTGACCGCTACTGTGCTCGCTCTGTACTTCCTCGATGTCTTCACTCCGGCGAGGTGAGTCCCTCGACATGGTCGGTCTTCTTATTTTAGTTCCTTATTGAATCGAGGACGGGTCGAAGACGAGGATCCATACGTCATGATTCTTTCCAGATTGGCGTACGCCATTATGTTCGACGCGGGTTCGACCGGTAGTCGAATCCACATTTTCCAAATCCGCGTTCAAAATGGAGAGTACAAATTGGATAACGAAACCTACGATCGCGTGTCGCCGGGACTCAGTGACTACGCCACGCATCCCAAAGACGGCGCCCTGTCCCTCAAGTGAGTTTCTCTCATCGCATCAGTAATTCACGGATTCATTTTTTTCTTCCTCTCGAAACGAGAGGAAGAGCGAAGGAAGCTGGTAGGGAAGCTCAGTTGTTTTGGAGTCTGACCTGTTTACGTGATTCGGTCCCTTTCTGATGGGATCTGAACCTATTTTATGACCGCGGCAAGCTCTATCGTCCAAGGCGGCCATATACATTGTGAGCTCCAGCTCACCGTCCGTTGTCGGCTTCCGGTAGATAAAATCTATGTCCTACGAGTCTGGAATTTCACTCCGCGACTATCTGTGGGATAATTCACTCTGTGGATTGCCGGGAAGCTCCTTCGCTGACGTGGATAGTCGAGCCTCTCGTCCAGATAATGAATGTCTCGACTTGCACGAAGAAATGGACCTTCTCCATCGGGGAGAGAAATGGTCAAGGACTCGTGTATTCTATTGTTTCTCCTCCTTTTTCGATGATCCGGACAGCTGCAATCCGTTCTTCGATTCCGAGACGCTATGCTCTACGATCTAAGCAGCCGGCAGAGCTCGAACACGGAGGCCCCGTGACATTTTTTTCTCGTTCGTCTAGACCCGAGACCGATTCGGCCGAGGATCCTCGTATCTGAAATTCTCCGGGGTTCGAATGGTGGTGCCTAAAGGATAATCCATGCCCCTCTTCCAGACCATTGCTTGATAAAGCTCTAGTCATCGTGCCCGAAGCGGACTATCGCTACACTGAACTTTCTTTGAAAGCTACGGCGGGACTGCGCTTGCTGCCCGAACTCCAACAACTCCAGCTCATGTCCGAAGTTCGAAAATTCTTCGCGAAATACCCGTTCAGATCGGACAAATCTTCAGTCGACATCATGGATGGCACACACGAAGGTGAAATTCCTGCGGTCACGGGGACAGGTCCTCTTTGTCAGTTCCCCAATCCAATCGTCTTGTGGCTGAACCCGAAAAAAAAAACTTGTCCCTTACAGGGTTCTACGGATGGCTCACGGTGGTCTTCCTCCTGGGGCGGGATCTCTTCTCCAACAACATAGCCGCCCTCGATCTCGGCGGCGGATCGACACAAATCACGTTCATCCCCGAAGAGTCGACTACATTCAACATGACCGACCACATGCATCGAATGAAGATGCCTGGAGGCAGCCACATCGACGTGTATACGAATTCTTACCTCGGTGGAGGACTGATGTACGGTCGGACCGAGATCTTGAAGAAGAGCAAGACCTTCGAAAACCAATCGCTCTATCTCATAGAGAGTCCGTGTATTCATCCGGAAGCCGGAGGAGACGGAGACCTGTATTGGCAGTATTATGACTACAATTACACGGTCCGACCCCATCCCGAGGGTCATTTCAACTTCCTTCATTGTTACGAGAACGCCAGAGAAGTCATCCAGGAGACGCGGATATTCAAGCCCAAAGAACTCAGTAGTCGAGATATGTTCCTAATGTCGTATTATTACGATCGAGCTGTCGACACCGGTCTCATCGAGGATGGAGACGACGGGAAACTGCTTCAGGTCGGAGATTTCAAAAAGCGAGCACAACATGGTAAGCTTAAACGATCCGCGAAAGAATTCATTGTTATCAACGTTCATGGAAAGCGTCGATTCACTTCGAAACTGACCCAAACCCGGGTATTCTCTCGCAGAGTGCCAGCACAGAAGCCAAGGTCTCATCTTGAACGAGTTCCTATGCACGGATCTGACCTACGTATACGCTCTCTTGCACGATGGACTCGGACTCCCGGACTCCGCATATATTTGGGTGCGTGCGTCGACTTTTCTGTGTTTCTCCGCCAATCGTATTTCGCATGTGACAGAGTCGAACGGAAGTCGGAAAGTCAGATCATTCTCTCCTCGCAGGTTGTCAAAAAACTCCGGGGATCGGAAGTGAGCTGGGCTCTCGGTGCTGCACTGAGCGGTATTCACCTGTGATACTTGAGTTTGCCATAGGAGCCGGAGGATCTGCTGCGGAAGGTCACAATGGATGAGATCCCGCACAATATGACGGAAATTCCATAGTGATCGTGTGCAGCCTTTGTGTGTGACACGAAGCAATCTCTGGAGCAAGGCTGATGGTTGTCTGTTCAGAATTAAACTCATGGAATCTGGAACATGATATAGAATCGAAATTCTAATAAGGAATCATAGTATTGAATGTACAGCGAGCTCTATTGGACATTTTCGCACTGGCCATAATTCTGAATAATCATAGGATCGCTACCTCCTATCATGTGTTGTATCCTACTGTGAATAAAATTTCGAAGATGTTTTCCAATCGTGACGTGATCTGCTGAGGGGGGCAGACTAGACTTCGGACAGGGAAGGAAGGGCTGAACTCGGCAATCAGAGATTGAGATGACAAGCGCTGCGAAGTAGAGGGGGGACACCCGCGGCTATTCGAGAACACAGAAAACATAGCATCGGCTTGATTCCCGCAAATCCGGAAGTCTCTTCCCACCTCTCGAGGATGCGGGCAAAAAAAGAGTCGTTCAACAAGAAGATGTCATTATCGTCAATAGTTGTTCGTCGACAGCCTTTCGATTCCTCGTCGCTGGGAGGATCCAAATGATAGTTCAAGACAGGACTTGGACAGAAAAACGCCGTTCCGGCAAGGGTGGCAACAGATGCCTTGGGTCTTCAAAGACTTCGTCTGCTGTTGTCCTGCGTCTCCCGTGAGGACGGGATCTGACTCAAGGGAAGCATGAGGAGTTCGAGACCCTCACATCTTCAAGTTATGGGTCACCGGAGGAGGAAGTTCAACCATCCGTTTCTAAATATCCGAGGAGCCTCTCAATCAACGAAGGAGCGGTTCCGGATGCACATCGATTCTGATAGATTCCATGAAGTGAACCCCGTACTCTCTCGTCACGTAAAAATCCATCCATATCTTAAATTCTCTTTTGATGAGCCCCTTGAGCAGGCCTCACATTCTGGAATGCGCCTTATCTGCAAGTTTCCGTCCAACTGAGAGATGAACTTCCGACCGACTGGCTATTCGAAATAATCTCCCTGCAGCTTGAGATTCTCGACTGCTTCAGACGCTGGAACCTCGGGCGTGTCTGTCCTGATAAGTCGTATGTCTTTCTACACGTGGCAAACTGGGATTCACAAATCGGAGTACAACACCCACGATAAGCTCGAGCCTGGACTCAATTCTTCCGCGGCAAACGCGCGGGGGGGCATCATCTTCGAAGGGAGTGTCTCCCGAGAGCTCAGCCCTCCGCGGCGGGGCATTTGACCTACAGTGGACGCACTAGGGTACTACCTGCTTGGAGCGAGCGTTGTCCTACGGGCCTGAATCAGAGCAGACGTCAACTACGATTTCCTCAAGAGCGATGGCAGGTCTACGGTTTCTGCTGACGGACGAGCAGAATCACATCTTGGAGGAAGTACGAAATCTGTTCTAAGAGAACCCGTTGGCTGTGGACAATCGCTCCGTCGAAATACTTGACGGCTTCCCGGACGGTCGCGAGTCTGTCAACCTGGCGCGCGCCCAGATTGACATTCTGGTCGCTTTTATGGTCTCGGAGACTACCATACAGAGCCTCTAATCTTCCTGATCGTTTCGATCCAAGGATTTCACGATTGGATCAGAACCCAAGGGGCAGATCCTCTTGATTCGAGTGATCTGCCGCGTGTTCAATGATATCATGCCTGATGCTTCAAGAAAAACTGCTGCCCGATACGGCAGAAACGAGCAAGATCTCCGAGCAGCATGGATATAAAATGTTCCTTGGCCATCTTATCTCCTGCCGCTGATTTGACTCCAGCTTCGTCCGGATTCCAGCTTCAATCCCTCGTCCCGGGCTCTCGAGAGGGAATTCCGATCACGGGTGAATAGGTCAGAGTGCTCGATCGAGATATCGTCTAACCGATTCTCTTTATTCTCATTCGAACATGTTCTATGTACAGTGAGGGAAACAATGAGATTCGATGAGTTTCCACAAGGGTGATTCGATACTTTTGATATTCTGCGGTGAATCGTGGGATTTTTTCAGGGCAGTGATCAGATTCTTTGCATTTCCTGGAAGTTCCTATGTTCTATCCGCATACGCGAGAAAATCAGCCCAAGCTCAGATATGCACGGCCCGATGACCGAGTCCAAGACCACGCGGAGGCATTGACGAATGGCAAACATGTTGATCCGGAACTGAAAAATAAAATTTGTAATGAGCTAGCTCGTTCCATCTGAGCGGATCGTTGTCGTGAGCGAATCCGGAGAATCCATTTTCGCACGCCTCGGAGCTTTGATTCTACAGAAACCCCGTCGCAGCCTCCGCGATATGGTATAGGAGTTGACCCACCTGTCTCAAACACGGATGAACAAGCCAAATGTGGAAACAGGATAATATTGCGAAGAACAAACCGGCCAGGAGAGCCACTGGCACGGCACACAACGCGGTGAGTGCTTTATACGTGTATTCTTTTGTCACGCGGAACACTTTCGTCGAGACGGACCACACCTGAGGCACGGTTTTATACTGATCGGGTTCGGCGATGAGCTCCTCGAGGGTGAGCTGGAATAAATCAGAGGGAACGTCCCTATAATTAAATCTGGATTTCAATGTGAGTCTTTCAACACTTGACACCAATGGCGAGCTCCTCGGTGTCGATCATCAAGAATCGCTTCTGGGAGGTGCGGTCGACTCGGCTGACACGGGCACGAACATTGATCAACACCCACACCCATCCCGCAACAGATCACAACCTCGAAATCGCTGGCCTAGAAAAATCCCAAGGGTGACGACGCGACGTCGGTTTTTTTTCCGTGCCTCTCCCACACGCACAGGAGCTGTCTCTGCACGATGTTCATTCGATGAGAAGTACGCTATCGGCACCGGTCAAAAGGCCTTGACCCCGTGCGTGAACGTGCTCCGAGCCCGTGGGCGCGAACTCAGCTTAGCTCTATCCGCTCAACCGGGGGAGTTCACTGCGTATAAACAGAGCTTGTTAAACGCCTTCAACACGCGTTTTCGCAAGGTCAATCTCGTGGACTGCGCCATACTCCAGCTGCGATCTCATGACTTGCGACACCCGCGAAAAAAAGACCTGCCTTCTAGCAGTCGACTCTCGATCGGTCATTGTGAGCACCGAACCGTGAGCCGTGTCTTCAGCGAATCCTAGGATTTCGTCGCTTCAATTTGAAATATGGAAGAGGCTCTTTGCTTGGAACGGGTGGAATCGGTGCGCTCAACTGCTCTTATCGAGCCGAGATCACCTGATCACGCGGATCGACTCGACTCCTTCCTCACACTTTTGGTGTGCATGAACGAAACACGAGTTTCAATCTTCCACTGTGCGTGATTCATATCCTCCGAGAATCCATGAGCCACTCAGATGGATTGGCCGAAAAAATCGATTACAGGAAGATGTTCCCAAAGATGAATGTCCGGGCATTGGGAAGAGAATAAGCGCTCATGACATAACCATTGCTAGGTATAGGTTCCCAAGATGAGCGAGGTATATATTTAGGTTCTCCAGGGAACCGCATCTCCGTTGAAATGCTCAAAAAACATGTAATAGTCGAGCACAATCACAGAACTCATTTCTCGCACTCGACGCTTCCCGATGAATCGCGACGGAGGTTCACGGCGTGGCAATAATTTGGTGAAGTGCTATCCTAGTCCGTCAGAACTATTTTGAGCATGCTCCTCGGCAAGTCGGAGCGGGTAGCGCGTGGTTGCACTCGTTATATGCCATGGTGAGCTCGCGCCCTTGCGGGATTGAAGCCATCGAGAAGAATCTTTGGGTGAGTTTCCAGTTCTGAACTATCTACAAGCCGAAGGCTATTCGGCGAAAATTTGTGCGCAGTCTGGCTGAACATCCAAAGACATCGGCTGAGGTTCCACCTTCTTCCGCCGCTGTGAGTGGAACCAACTCGGACCAACGGCTCCTCGTAATCTTCCACAAGCATAGAGTTCATCCTCCTCATCGCCTGTCTACTCTAGAGGCCTCAGGGCCATGTGACGTGAGGATTCGGCATCGGAATCTGATCGGCTGACCAAAGGCACACCGTAGGACTGTGATCAAATTCATATTCACGATATGAATTCTGGGGAATTTTTGAACGAATCCATATTCACGATTTGAATTTTGGGGAATTCGTGAATGAATTCATATTCACGATATGAATTCCCGGAAATCTTTCAATTTCGGGGTTTCCGTAGTTATGAATCGTTTCATGACTATGATTCCAGCCTTGTCCTCGGGGAAAACTCATAGCTGATCAGCCTACGGCACCCAATGACGAGACTGATGAATGTCGTTCTAATTATCAAAGCCTAAAACTGATTATAGGAGAAAATCTTTTAGGAGTCCGCTCCCCGCCAGAGATATGCCTGCTCCGATAGCGTCTCCAGCGATGAAATCATCATACAATTGATTCTGATCCCTTGACGTTCGTTCCACCAATATTTTCAAGCCGACTCTGATCGAATCGAGTCGGGAAGAACCTTCGTCGAGTCACCGAAGGTTTGCTCCGCGCAGGAGACAAGCGAACCGCTCTGTCCCTCAAAAGACGGAAATCAGATACCTACGCACGAAGTTAGGACCCGACTGCCATGCCGCGGAGTCTCAAGATCCTGGGCCATAGTGAATCGCCGACGCTTAGCGTACGTCTCTTAGGACGCCTTCGGTCACGTCTTCGGATTCCTTGTCCTAGACGAAATCGCCTGAGTCGTTCATTCTTGTTCGCAATAAGTTTCTTCAGGTGTCTCCACGGAGCTAGGTCATTATAGAGAAGGAGATGAGGGTTCCTTAGGAAACGGCACTCCAGCTTCTAACCCGCTCTCTTTGGCTTCCTTGCATATGGGCCAGTCGAAAGATAAACCCCATGCCGGGATTCTCACGCGATCCCGACGTGATTTAACTGGACAAAAAATGAGGGTACGAAGCTTTGCATCGACGAAACCATCCAAGCGTGCTCCATGACCTGCTTTCCAACGCCGAGCGAACAGGTCAGGGTCATCGAAGACCATCCTGTATGTGAGTGCGAAATTTAATTCAATTTATATGGATCATACGCGTACGCTCCAAAACGGTGTCCTAGACATTCATGCTCGTGCGGGAAAGCACACAGCGAGAAGAGTGTCTAATGACAGCGGAGCGGGTCGTTTCCGCAGTGCGAAGTTACGATCCCAGGTCGGGCCTCCCACAGCCCGGCGATTACGAGCATGGAATGGACAGGATCAAGGTCTCACGTCCGACCAGCTTGTATACTTTTGGAACCGGAAGTAGACCGTCTCGACGTCGCGCCTACCGCCCGTCACGCAGGCTGATCGGGGCGTCGCATCGCTCCCATGTCGTTGAAACAGCGAGAGATTTTGTGGAGACTCCAGCAAGAAGCGTCATTACTCATTACAATCAAGCGATCAGGGTTAGCTCTTCGAATTTTCTTTCGCCCCTTGATGCCTTTGATGGTCATCGAATGAAACTCTCAGAGCAACGGACATCGCCAAGAATCCGTCTTCTGAGAGCTTTCGATCAGGACGTGTTTCGCATAACTTGGACAAAGCAACCACTAGTCGGGTTAGACTGGAAATCCCCGGGGTGCCACATTTCCTGGGTGGAGTTTTGTCCTAATTGTGCATCTAGCCTTCCTCGCTCTCACCATGTATGTACGTTCCATGATAAGCGATAACAGCACTATCGTGTCTCTCCAACGGGGATCCGACGTTTCAAGTTCAACTGCGGTCGTTTTGAAGGCCTTCGCATGATTATTGTGACAATTACCATATGTCTGTGGAGTACCCTCCTGGCCTAGCGGCAATTAGCCAATATTGTATATGCAAATGCATACATGTATTCGTATGCGAATAAGCAACAAGAGGTCGCGGCGGACGATCAGAGAAGCGGATGTCGATTCCCCCTGAGCTCAGGGACCCCGAATCGACTCCCGGTGCTCCTCGACGCCCGGATCTGAGCAGTAGGCGAAGCTGAGACGCGGGCTCGCTCTCCTGTTCGAGCTTCCCGACTTCACCGGACGCTTCCCGAAAGAGGGAGAAGAGTTCTCCCATCTGCCAAACTTCCCGGAGGCCTGAGTGTGTCTGAGACTTGTCCCGATCGACAAGGTGACCCGAGAGGGATATCGAAGTGACTCAATCACAAAAGACCGGCTCCGAGTGATGGATGGGGGTCTCAGCTTGCGAGAGATAAATACACTCCATTCAGAACTTCACCGGATCGAAGATTCCTCCTTTGTTCTCCGGATGCTCATCATCACGTAGAGATCCAGATGAGTTCCACGCTTCTCAAGCACCATGCTCTAAATACGATACGATGTTAAATGAACTCCGCTTAGGTACGCCTCAGCTATTCGCCGTCCATCGGCACCGCTCACGTACTCATTGTTCACGATCAGTCCCCGAGATCTCCAGGAGATTATATTCTCCCACTTCGCTTGATCGGCTCACCCGAAAAGAGTTCCCCGGATCCAATAGCTCAGGAAGAAAGTGATCTTCGACTCACTCAGTTTTTGAAATCGGATAGGCTGCGGCGTCCCGATCTGACGACCTGTGACTCCGCCAGTCAATCCTCCGGGACCCTCTTCCAAAATAGCGACAGGTCAGAGTCATCCGTCACAACGAAATGCTCAGAGTTACGCCAGAATTCCGTCCGGAGCTACTTTGGACGGAATCTCATCAAAAACGATAATAGCAATCGAATCGAGTGCTGAATAATAATTGTGTAGGAGAGCAAATCCCGTGCGGACCTTTCGAATGGGTCACGTTCCCCGTGACAGGACAGCCTCGGGATCATCGAGAACCTCCCGTGACCGTCGCCTCCGGCGTTGCCCAGGAGCTCCCAGAAAACCTTGAAGACCGATCTCGATCAAACTTCTGTTTGTCGGTCATGTGTGATGACAGATGACCAAGTTATTTGCCTAATGAAAACTTTCAAGGACCTAATGATCAAAGTTCGAAGTTATGCGCCTGTCATGATTCGGCGCGGATTGACGCCAGACGCGGAGCGTAGAGAATCGAGCTACATCCGGGGAGTATTCTCCACTCACCTTGAGGTATTCGGATCGATGGACTGGTCTTCCCAAACTCGGCGTGGATCTGCCGAGGGGCGCGTCCTTCGTGAGCGACATAATAGAGGTGGTCGATGAGGGTAATCGCGGCATTTCTTCGACAATGTCTCTGGGCATATCATACGCGGGAGTTGGCTCAGGAGGCTTTTCAATAGGCATCTTCTTGGCGGCGGGGGCGTTGGCAGTCGCGGCGTCTTTCTTTGCTGCGGGCGCGACTTTATTGTTATTTGTTTGATGTGTTTTAGCTGCGAAGTTTTTTGCTGCGCTCTTGACCGCCATCACGGTCTTCAGCGAGGAGTGGGCAGGGGTAGCATTGCTGGTCCGGTTGCCGCTCGGAGGTGGCATAGCACTCAGTGATGCCCGGCGCACGTCGGCTGCACCCAACGTTCATAACTGAAGCGATTCATGAACCTCTCACTTGCACGAACGGGCATTATATGAGTCGCCTGGTTCCGGACTCCGAGTGGATCGAGTCCACGGCTCGTGGCGAGAGCTGTTCGCGGTCCGTGCAGCTTCGAGGGTGAGGGCACTACGTACGGTTACGTGGTGAATTTCAGCGAGCTCCTCCGATGACAGATCCTGAACTTAAATTCTTGATCCCTTGGTGTTGAGATCGACAAGAGGGTTGGCGACCCCATCACATTTCCGTGTTTTCCGAGGAGGAAAGTAACGCAAAACTCCCCAGATCGATTAGATTTCATAATGACATAATGAATTCCCGTAATCTCGATAATCGAGAGCTTGGGAATCCGAAGAGCAGAAATCTCCGCCTGAACATTCTATGGTAAACGTTAGCAAGGCGCAATTCCGGAATAGCTCTTGACCGCGCTATTCGGCCACTGTCTAGTTGTCGAGATGTTGTCGCAGATCGTCTTCTCCCGATCTGACGATGGGGCGTGAACGCAATCAGCGAAAAGGAAACTGCATCATAGGCAATACCAAGCCGATTGCATGGCATCGACCACTCGATTCTTCTCTCACTCGCTTGAAGACAAGCTTCCGGTTTTCCGGGCCCCGAAAAAAGACAAATCGCCTGCTCGGAAAGCATGGTGGGGGGGTAGAAAATTGAACCTCATTCCTCCCGACCGTTCCGGAGTTCGAGCACTCTGCTGATCGCGTTTGCTCTCAAGGCTCAACATGAATCTGCGGAGACCAATCTGAAAATGCGTCACATGTCCTATTCAACTCGAAGAATCCGGGAGAGTTGGAGGATCCCCAGGGAGGCCATGTTCCGAAGGTCAAAATGCGCGCTGATTTGATACTAACAACCAACAGATTGCACTGGTTCCTGTTTTCGGAATTACGTGACACCACGCTTCAGTGACCTCAACCCAGTTCGGGGCAGCCAGCCTGAGCGAGGGGAGACGGAGGGGACTCTCCAAAATCACTCACGACCCTCTCTAAAAGGATCAGAAGGGGTGATCGGACGATTTAGAGTATTTGTGCATACCATACATCCTGCTCATTGTTCACCGGTCAAGGTCCTCCGACTTATTGGCTGTCCGTCCACGTTTCCGACTCCAGCCTCATGCTGATGGAATAGTCTTCATTATGTCGTGACGGCGATTCCATTTCCTTTCGTTCATCTTGCGGGCTTTGTACAAGGTTTCTCGGAGCCTTGTACTCATGTGCCTCAACGAGAGGGATCGCTGCGCCGATCGATGAACTACATACTGTGGCAGAATGAGGCCGTCCGGAACGGTGTACCTTTCATGGAGTTCCCGTCTATTCATGAGAAAGACCTGAAATTATGCCGGTCAACGGTATAAGGAATTGGGTTCCAGAGACTGCCGAACGATGCAGCTTCGCGACGCTTCCCATCGATGACTTTCGAGCTGACCATCGTCAATGCCGAAGGTGCTCCGAGGGGATTTCAGTCGAAGTTGATATCAACTGAAAATTATTGAAGGGAGATCTGACCAGATATTTGCTTCCGTTCCCAGAGAGTGGCTATGATGCCCGGGATGCCGCCCGAGGATTCCATTCTCGTGCACGGGAATGCCTGCAGAAGAGCGCCTCCTCACTCCTCACCTCTGGAGGCCGCGATTTTCCGCGGACGGCGTCGGTCGAGACCCGTTTCCCACCGGGGGGCCGAGCATGAAACATTGACATCATCGCCGAACACTGGTCCCCAGACGTTGAATGGTAAGACAGGATCCCCTCGAGGGCTAGCAATCGTGAGCCATCAATGGATGACCTATATTCTCCAACCGGCATTGTTGAGAAGTAAGCCGGGAATTCGCGTATTGCTACCGGCCTTCGCCATTGCTTCGGAGGACCGAATGAAACCTCGTCAATGATTTCCGGGGTCTTGTTGGCGAAGCTCCTGGTGAGCGAGAGAGACACCGAGTGAGTCCGCGGGCCGTAGTTCCACATTTGAGAGATAATTTCTAGGTAAACGCAAATGGTTCCCGACTCTGATGGCTGATGACAGCTCAGCTCGGTGAGTGAGTGAGACGTCTGCCGATCACTCAACGCTCACGCTGTTCAGGCTCACTAGAGACAACGACCGGTCTTCATTAAATGTCGAACACGAACAAAAAAGAAAAGTGCTTCTGTGCGCATCAACAGTCGGAACGACGGTTAGCGGAGAAAGTCTATTCTTACCGTGAGCTGCTTCCTTCATGTTTTTTCGGCTGGCCGCTCGGCCGGCCGGTTGAATTGGACTGAGAGAACTTTTTGACTCTAAAAAGCCGGCTCCGACGACGGAGACAATATGATTATGAAAGAACTGCTCGCAGTTTTTCCCGCGTCTTTTCAAGCTGGGACAAGGAAACTCCTGGCCTGACTGGTTTGTTCGGCCATACGAGAACCCCACTGCTAGATAGAGCCGATGTTGAGAATCTCAGCCGAAAGCTGCCGGGATCATCTATCAGGAGAAAGCCTGCGATCTTCGGGAATCAGGCCAGCAAACCAAGAGTCCCTTCGAATATGGGCCCGAATCTCTATGCTCAAAACCGCAAACAACAGAGGGAAGTTCGCGAGGGATTCCCGCAAGTGATTCGACTAAGAGAGAGACAGATAACTTGTTCCGGATCATCTATCGTTCGAAGTTTGAACCTTCTTCCGGCAGAGGTTTCGATATAACCCTGCGATTTCTCATCGCAAGAGATTCTCAAGAGGTCGTGTTCAGTGCACGGAGAAGGTCAGCCGGTGGGCTTGCGCATCGAGATGTGACTAATGGAGTTTCCAAAACCACAGAAACCCCCACACCTTCAGGCTCGAGCATATGCGCCAAATCTAGACATTTGCAGAAATCCGCTTGGACGTTTTTTCGAATATTCAATCGGTAGTGCTTCAGACAGCCAATCGGAGCTACAGTCCGAGGCGACATTCCGGGAGCGTCAGAGTTCAGTAATTTTCGAAGCCCTCAATCAAAACCCGCTATCAAAGCCCCGCCCATGTCCTGACGCAGACACATGAGCAGGGAGTGGCAATCCGATGCCTACATGGGCCTGGAAGAGGTAGTTGATCGGCTCGACGATCGATTCCCTGATTGTTCTCAAGGCAGGAAAGCTTGCTTTTTTTCCTGGTGGCAGGAGGAATCTCCCATGACGATATGATGGCTCCTGCGCGCGTTCATATGCTGAATATCCGCCTCTCTCCCGATTACCCCAACCGTGCCCAGCGTATTCCTCTTCTCTACGGAAGACTCGACGATTCTTCTGGCCGTGTTCGCGCCTCAAGGGGGTCCAGAAATCGGATTTTGCGGGACGGACGGAGTTTCGCTCGTCGTCTACGCCTTTGCAGAATACTGAGTCCGGGACGTTCGGGCTTCCAGAGAGGACAGTAAGCGGCCATCATGACTAGTTTTTCCTCGGTTGAGGTGAGCGTGTTGTGTTGACTATCGGTAAAAATCTCTCACCCGCTTGGTCAGTTGTCGCATTGCCCCTTGAAACGCGCTGACGGAGCCATTCCCGCGGCGACCGATGGTCAGCAACAATGGTAAGTGTACCGCGGGCTTCACTGTGTGATGTTCGAGTACTGATCATCCGATTGCATTCATCGTGTGTTTTGCAGTTGCTGTTTGTGGAGTTCGCGTTGGTAGGTCTCTTGACCGCACGGGTCAGTGGCGTCAGGGACTCGATCGGGATCTCTTTGGCAGACGAGTCGAGTGACACGTTCCCGATTTTCATCGCGTCGCACCGACCCGCTGCTGGTAAACGCTTCGATTTGAGGAATTTCGTGCCTCGAAGAGTATCGGGCCTGTTCGGAGCCCCCTCGAACAACTATCCGACGAGTATTCAGCATAAAATTCCTCATCTGGCCAAAGCTCTCGGAAATACGAGGTATGTCACCATAGCCGAAGACCCGACCCTCGTTCGTCCATGGAAAGCCTCGTCAGACTCGTGGAGTTCTCCTGAAGACAATGCCATAAGTCTCGATGATCACGAAAAACAGAGACCTCTGACGAGCTCGGATTTCGAGCCTGACCCCCCGAATCGCTACCCGAACGCTCCTGTGCACCATTTCAAACCCCACGAGCCGCCTCGCTTCCTCGAAAAAGAGCCGCCGGTGCATTCCAAGCATAGAACCTACTTTCCTTCCGGAGTTACTGAAGAGTCGCAAGATGTTGCCCACGACCCCGGTCGGAACCGGGAACTCCTGAGCGAGCCTCACGAGTACCGAACACCGCGAGCGTCTCGGGAGCATCCGCGGGATGCTCGGGCCCCCGTGCAGGAACACGTTCATCACTTGCATTATCACAGTCGACAACGTCATCGACAGTCGACACAGCCGCCCGACTCGTCCGAGGAGCAACCGGTGCCTGCGCGAGATCCCAAGGACTGGTCCATAAATTTGCGATACGGCCATAAATCGCGGAACGGGGGATGCAACCCCGCGACTGAGAGTGTTCGTCGTCAAGGTCGACAAGCGGAGTCGGGGAGTCAGACTCAGCCCCAACAGAAACAAGAACAACAGCGATCCAGATCGAACTTTGGTAGCGGTAGCGGGAACTCCTCGCGATCGAGCAAGGGATCCAGTAGGGAAGAGCCACCGAGCCTGAGCCGCGAGAACCAGTCGGATGATTCGGGTCGATCCAGATTCCACAATCAAGCTGAACAGAGGCGATCGTCAGAGAGCGAGCGAGAGCCTTCGAGACACGGATGGAGACCGAATAATCTGTCGTGGAGGAGCTCTCCCAAACGGGATGACGATCAACGGCCCCGATACAACGACCTCCCCATTCTCCGTGCCCGATGGCTCAACCTACCGTATCGATCTCAGGAGAGTCGAGCCATCCCAGACGTCCAGATGATCCATGACCGACCCGAATGGGAGGCGGTCGAGCAGAATTTCCATGACTACCACGACCCACGAGGGAGGAAACTCGTCAGGAACAATCATACCACCATCATCGAAGAGGAGTTCGATAAGATTCCTGCAGATGACGCCATGGATTTCGCGAGTCCTGTCGGTCACAGTGAATACCGCTACACCGGTTTTCCGGGCTATGACCACGGAGACTGGTTCCATCGGAGTCGGAGCACGGCCCCTCGGAGAACTCACGGCCATCACCACGGCTATCCGTCCGCACCGAAACCTCAGTCCGGTGATCTGGATATCGAGGAAATTCTTTCCGAGGACGAGGAAGCCGACGTGGGCATTGTGGCCATCGACAACAAGTCTCCGAACGAGACGAATCGGGCGAATTCCAGCCAGGATTTCCTCATGAACGGGGAGCTCCGATTCCCGAATCAGAACGCGGCGGCTCTCCGTGAACTGACTGAGTTGCTGAAGACGGTTCCGGAAAAGCAAGAAAACTTTTCCTTCGACCGGAACGGTACCCGGGGCCAAGTGGTTCGAACCACGAAGAACATCGCTGTCACGAAAGAGACATTCGTCAATGGCCGTTACGACGACCGTGAACAAATTCCGTCGAAGACAGTCTCCAGACAAAATCAATGGACCCCTGTGGAGGTGTCCACCGAACGCAAACCCAACGCGGAGCAGTCGCCGGAAGCCCAAAAGGTCGGTCGCTTCTCTCAGCGAACAGACTTCGTTCCGAGTCCTGAGGGAAGTTTTCGGATGAGCGACGGTCACAGAAAAGTCCAGATAGCGCCATCCCCGCTGCCTAGTCCCGCTCCTGCTCCTCGCGGGAGCGGGAACGACGCGTCCCGAAGAGTCGCATCGCGAGATCAAGTGAAGTTTGGCTCGTCTAAACGTGCGTACTCCACACGAGAAAACGGAAACCAGAAACCATCATTATCGAGAGAGGTTGGCGAGATGAATAACAGAGGAATTGTCAGGAAGCGAGTTAAGAAAATTCAAACGCAGTCCACCGTCGAAGTACTCCCCCTCGAAAATCGAAACGCGACGGGAATTCCGGCGTACGATCTCGGGGACACCTCTGAAGAGGATTATGTTGACTATCCCCTGAGCGGAGAGCAGAAGACCCTGTACGGAACAGACTACTACCAGCAGAATGCGCCGGCCGCGATCAAATCGAACAAGACGGCGGACGGCGTTAAAACGTATCGTCCGGCAAGCTCGCGGCACAATTCAAGTTCTTCCACAACCTCAGTTCCAGTTCCGATCAATGCAACGGCGCCTCCGAGAGCCACGGCTGCCGGTTTCTCGAGAGCGTTGTTGCCTACTCCAGGAGCTGCGGAATTCGTGACTCGGCCGGAAGTTCAGGGAAATGCGTCGGCGGTCAAAGCTCGTACGAACCCGACGGAGAGGATCGTCAAGGCCGCTGTCACCACCTGGGAGCCTCCGGGGGCTCGCTCGAGGTTCTCATCTCACGAACTGCAGAAATCCGCGAAGGCATGTGATCATGAGGACTGTCGGTCTAGCCATGGTGCTCTTGTGTACCAGAAACCCGTCGGCAGAACAACAGCGGCTACCCCAATCTTGACGACGACGACTCCCCTTCCTCCCGGCAGTGCTCGGAGCCCGCGTCCGTCCACGGCGCCGCCCGATCCTGCGAGGAAACGCAAGGTGCGTCGCAGACGTAAAAAAGGCACGACGCCCCTTCCGAAAGGTGAGATATTTGACGAAGGAAATCGCGCCTCAAAAAGATCGGAGTTACCGGTCGCGAAAGTTTTCCAAAACTGAATACGGATGTGATACTTGAAATTGTGATCGAGCCCGAAGTAATTCTCGTGGGGATCTGGAGCCAAATCGTCGAGTCATTAAGAGAATCCACATCGCTCTAGAGACATCTCCGATGGCGGCGTCCGGCGCTCAAAACCTGGGTCTCAGGCACGTAGCCCCTCCAACGACGCCGAAATTCCGAAAGAGGAAAGCCAGCGAGGATGAGCTCCACGAATCTCCGATCGCATCAGCCTCGGCCAACGGCGGCGGAGGCGATGGTGACATGAGAGTTCAGTTTCATATGCAGGTACGGCGCAAAGGCTAATGCTCCCGCTTAAGTTTTTCGTCTAATGAAATTAACGCACGCTTTGCTTCGCTCCGCTAATCTCGCTTCATTTAGGGATTCTCCGGTCCTGAGAGTTATCGATACGGATTTCATACGGCTGATCCTTACAACCCTCTCGAGCGTTTCGAGGAGAGAGATGGCGAAGGTCGAGTGAAAGGACATTATAGCTACACAGATCCCACTGGTGAGAGAGTGGTCGTAAACTACATGGCTGATCAGAACGGTTTTCGAATTGTGAAAGGTGACGGTTCTGGATCTCAGAACGGTCCGGGATCCGGCGGACAGGGGGGCATGGGCGAATCCGATAACGGAGGTGACGACGGCGGAGATGCCAATAACCCTGCGGATGACGACAACGACGCCAACGCCGAACGTGAAACGTCCGGAGTGGGTAGCTCTGATAACGGACCTTTTGGGACAGATTACAATGAAAATTCCCTCGACATCGCGAATTGACTCTTCTTAGGTAGGCTTCCACAACGAATCTAGATGCATGAGGTTCAATAGTCAACAGATGCACTCGCGGGAGCTACGCGAAATTAATTAATTTCGAGTCAAAAATTAACGACACGAATTAATAAATATTTTGAATTCCTCCGTTTGATCGTCCCGACTTCTCTCTGAGCATCACAGAATATCTTTCTGAGATCACTCACCCCTTATTCGGTACTCTTTCTCTCGAGCATTGATTATTATTATTGCTCACTTACTAGAACGTATTAGCTTTAGTTATCCGCAGCGATCGTCCCTAAGCAGGGCATCACGGCTCGGCACAGCCTCGTGAACTCGTTCGCTGCCGCTCTATTAGATCAGATAGACACAGCGAAATCTACTAAATGAGTGGAACCGATCCCAAAAAGTCGTCACACGGATATTGGCAATCATTCGGAACCCCATAAAATTTCGTTTACTGAATCGAATGTCCTGCGGAGACGTGAGAGAATTGCTCAGCAAGTGATTGAGGTGATCTGTTTCGTCCCCGCGGAAGCTGCCCGCTCCTCGACGATGTTCATCCTTGAACTACTTTCCGATGGCTGCGTAACAAGCGGCATATATGCACTACTAGGCTCTATTCCTCATTGAATGTGATGAAACACCGCGTGGAATGAAGCCGTATCCTGGTGCTCGATATGGTCTCGTCGAACGTAGCGGGCCCATAAATAATAGGTTTTCACACCGTCGCGACCTCATATTATTCCACTTTGTTTTCGCCGGATCGAGGATCTCGCTGTCATGCCTCAGCGGGACGAAACGACTCCGAACCCGGATAGTCTGCCGGGGCGAGATTCCGAAACCAGTTTGGAGAAAAAGTCGATATGGATATATGAATCCTGCGGTAAGACGAAACACACCGTCAGAAGTGAACACATCTTCGTCGGAGGACATTGCATCGTAGACGCTAGCTGTCCGAGCTGGACAGCGGGTCGTTGCAGGGTCCCACGTCCTCGACATTCACGTATGATGGTTCAGCAGAGTGAGCGGTCGTTCTTGCTATGACTCGCCCGACGCTGGTGACGCAGAAACAAGTTTCTGCCGTGCGATGATTTTTTATTGGCTCGTGCTGTGTTCACAATTGACCTTGACTCCTCGCAATTACCGTGAGATAATCGACTCGACAAGCCGAACACGTTAATTCTCCCCTTGAAGACCCAGGAGATTACATTCAAATGAGGAGGGGCTCCGCTTTGTTCCTATTTGCATAGACAGCTAGACAGATAATTCTACCTCTGTCGCACTCACTCAGTGACGACGATTCTAGCGTCAGATTAAAGTCAACCTTGTCGGAATCGGATTGTACACGGGATGTATTAGGCCCATGCACTCCGGGACCATGAGCTGTCGATCATTCCGATAGGGACCGGTCCCCCGTCCCCTGTAACAATCCTGAAGGTCTACGGATAAGCTCGAGATGTGCTATCGCAATTCGTGGACAAGCGCCCTCCAACACCAGCGAAGTTCCGAGACGGTGCAGCTCTCGGGCGGATCATCACTAGGGCACTCCTTTGAAACTCGATTGTACCGCATTCAGGTAGCAGATGGAGCTATGAAGAATACGTTAAATTCAATAACTTGCGCGAACGGCGGAGCCTATTGTTCGAGCTTTCGCCCGCTCCCGCATCAGAACTCACGATGGCTCCGTGCCATGCAGTCGATATATCTCAAATTCACACCTTCATGTGAGATATCCGCATGCCAATAGTCTACGGGAAAGACTGAGTGGGGCGATATCATCCATCCCTCTCTCCTTCCACCGGCCTCCTTTTTGAAAAGACCGCCCCGACTAGACAAACCCATGAGTAGCTCGATTCCCTCGAGTGTCGAAGCTCGTTTGTTTACAAATGATGAACCGCTCCGTAGAGGGAGAGAGGACGAGCCCATCGCGCACGACCGAGAGAACAAGGAATTATAATTCGGTTCGAAAGACATGGCTGGTCGTGCCTGTGCGCGTGGCCTATTCGGCTTGCGTCCACTCCACAATGCCTCTAGGAATATGTCCACCTTAAGTCCGCCGAAGAAACTAGGTTCGTTCCTTCGTTTCCACCAGGATAGCATGTGTTCCACATTAAGTCGACAATCTCTCGATGCGGTTGACGCTTCAAGTCACCGGAGACGTTCCCTTCAAACCCTCGGATTCGAAGGTCGTGATCCCCCTCGAGAACGAGGTACTACCCTCAAGTCGTCAAGTTTTGAGACGCTCACCTGCTGATTCCAGATCCGAATTACGTGTCGACGGAATCGATGGATGTCGAGAGGCTTTTCCTGCATGCAGACGTACGTAAAATTCTCAAGAAGCTCACGGGGATGGACTTGAATCGGATTTTCGCTCTAAGGAAGCAGGAGAACTCTGTCCCATCGTATAAGTTAATGACAGATGAGGAGCTCAAGCAAGCGGTGAGAACGTGACGCTGACTATCGAATGTCCAATACACAATTCGTGACTCTCTCGTGTGGGAGCGACCTGTCGAGCGGTTGTCTCTAACAAACCATTTCTCCAAAGTATGCAAAAGCTTTGAAGCGCGCCGAATTCACCCTGCGTATGCCTCCAGTAATGCGGAAGCGAGTTCCGTGCGAAGCGATCATTCGCAAGGATCCGGGAATGCAAGGCGCTGAAAAGCACAAATTCGTATTCACCGACATTTCCTACGGAATTCCCGATCGGGTGAGTTTCTCTCCCTTGATGTGAGATACCCGATTAATTGTCTTTGCGAGGGAAGACCCCAAAGGGTTCCGAATGAATTCTCCGGCTGATCGGGACCTCTGAGGATCTCCGAGAATCAATTACCTGAAATCGAGAGCTTCGGAAACCTGTATCGATAGAATTGCTTCGAATGAAGCCTTCGGGCCCGACTGTATACCGTATTCATGGGTCGTTCTTCTCTTCAAGTCTCGGCCGATAGTCGTACGTGAACCCAACGGGGTTTTGCGGAATGCAAGCTGGGAAGAACGGGATCAGATGCTACAAACCTATCTCACGAGACCTGAAAGGGAGTCCCGGACTCCACCAATGTTCACCGAGCCCCATCTCACTAGAATTCTCGACAAAGGATGGTGAGCGGTAACTGCCTCCGTCATCAGGGAGTCGCTCGGAGCAGGATACCCTTGATTTTCGACGATGAAGGCGACCGAGATACCAAAGGAGTTTCTATATGCTCCCCGCGCTCAACCCGTCGATGTTACAGGTACATCTTCGTCCTGGACCGAGCCTGTGCTCAATTCGAGCCGGACGATGAGTGGTTCATCGCGGTCACACACCGCACGTACGATCACATCAGTGAGAAATCGGCATTCGATGTCGTACGTTCTACTCGACATTTCGGGCCCATGTGCCTTTATTTAGCTGTTGTCAAAAACGGGGACAAGCTCATGTTGGAACTGCTCACGACAAACAGGTGAGATCGAAGCCTGATGTACTTATTGCATGACGCCCATCATGGGGATGTCGAGATCTGACAAACTCATTTACTTTCAAAAGACTGGAAGATGCCGCAGCATTCGTGAGACTCCTACACCTCGTGCACCCGGAGAGCAGGAGCGCAGGAGAGGTAGATGAGAAGAGCTCAGCTATGGATTTTGTTGAGGTAGGAAGAATCTCCGTTCAGCATCTCAATCATGAAAGAAGAGACGAGATACAGGACCAAGTCTCAACTTATCTTTCGCAGGCTTACATCAAGCTGGAGGCGCAGATGAAAGCAAAATTGGATTTGGCACTTCAGTCGTACAATGACCAGGTTCAGGCAGCGACGGCGTAGTTGATTGTATACGAGTATGATGTCTGTAGTTTGTATCATCTGCGTGAATGCGAATAAAACTCTCAGTGGAGGGATTCCATGCGTTCGGAATGGGAGAATCCAATTTCATCAGATTCTCGTTCCGCGAGCCGGATTCATTCTCAAACAGGCGAGTTGCATTCAGGCTGAGGAATAGTTAGAGGACATCAGATGAATCCACAAGGTTTCGAGACTCCTGGAGCTGACTGATGTCGGACATGAGTCGTGAAGCTCGAGCAATTTCTGGCGCTCGGGAGCTCAGACGGAATCGCGAACACGGAGATCGAGGAGAATCCTACCAAAGCCTGCTCCGCGAGAAAACCTACCTAATTCTTCTGAGGAATTCCCGATCCGGAATCGCAACTCTCGGAGAGTTCCCCTACGGAAGCATGGACTCGTGGAGAGAGCATTCAATCGGGTTCCAAAGAAAAGCATTCTCGCCCCTCGAGCTCGAAAAGAGTTGCAACAAACATCGAATGTCCTATCTCGTTTGAAGAGCGTCGATGCGGGATCGCTCCATCATCGCCGATCGATATCAGGAACACTCGTCAGCAGTCCTCATTCCAACGAGAGTAACGGTGCCGTCTGTCTAATGTTTTCTCGCAAGATGTGGATGCCCGGGCTGTGTTTGTTGCTTTCCGTCTCGGCTACGGTCGCGGCTCTGACGGACTATGATGACGAAGATTATCCGCAGCCCGAACAGATCCATCTTAGTCTCGGAGGTATGGCTGGTTGCGAAGACAGAGAGATCGAGTTCGGGTCGATAGTCGCTGTGGAGCTCTCACCCACCGTGGATTCTTTCCTCCAGCCGACGAAACTCAGATGATCGTCACATGGGTCACTCAGGCGCCGACAAACCATTCTGTCGTGGAGTACGGACTCTCGGGCGGCAGTGGACTTAAATTCACCCGCAGAGCGTCCGGCTACAGCACTCTTTACCAGGACTTTGGTAGCGAGCGGCGCAAACTTTACATTCACAGGGCCGTCTTGAAGAAACTCATACCCGGAGCCATGTACTGTGAGTTCATATGAATCAAGATATATTCCATGGAGAATGGATATTCCAGCCTCCGCTGGCTTCCAAGGGAGCTTATTACTGCGCGACGCTCCTTCCAATCGAGAGCTTCCGCCGCAGATTATCACTGCGGCGATCCTCTTGACGGATGGAGTGCGGTTTACTGGTTCAGAGCGCTTCCGAACGACGCGAACTTCAAGCCTTCCTTCCTGATATACGGGGACATGGGGAACAAGAACGGGCGGGCCATCGCCCTGCTCCAATCTGAGGTACAAAACGGAAAAGCGGACATTGTTCTCCATGTGGGCGATCTCGCCTATGATATGGCTGACGTACGTATCAGGCGGAGAATCGATTCCGTATCATAATCGTTTTCGATGGGTCTAGAGGATCATACCCGGGAATCTCCCCTCAAATGAACGCTCAACGTTTTTCAGGACAATGGGAGGAGAGGAGACGAGTTCATGCGGCAAATAGAGCCGATCGCTGCTTATGTCCCGTACCAGGTCTGCCCGGGCAATCACGAATACCACTAGTGAGTTCGAAAAATTGAAATCACCCTACAGGGCTCGGAGCCTTCCTTGCTACCATTTTCCGTCTACGATGTTTCCGTCGATTGAGGCCTCTTGGTGGTCAAGTTCTGACCAAGGATGAATTTTCAGCAACTTCTCTAATTACGACGCGAGGTTCTCGATGTACAACAGACAGAGAAAGGCCATAAATAACCATTATCATTCCTTCAACGTCGGTCCCGTGCATATCGTCTCGATATCGGCGGAATTCTACTTTTTCCTGCATTTTGGATTTGAACAAATCAAATATCAGTTCGACTGGCTGGTTCAAGATCTCACGGAGGCGAACGAGCAGGAGAACCGCGAGAAACGTCCGTGGATCTTCCTAATGGCTCATCGACCGATGTACTGCACGAACCTTGGTACAGCACATTCGGAGACGAGGTTGTTCGCCCTATGGGCTCCGAAGCTCTGTCCAGCTCTCGCTATTTTCAACAACACGATTAATTCCCACCTCAGGCAATGGGGACTGCGATAGAATCAATAGCATCATACGGACCGGGATGCCCTTCACGAATAATTTCGCTTTGGAACCTCTCCTCAAAAAGTTCGGTGTCGACATCATGTGGACGGGACACCAACACTCGTACGAAAGACTCTGGCCGGTATTCAATGCCACCGTCCAGAACAACAAATCGGAACCATACAGCAACCCTGATGCTCCAATCCACATAGTGACAGGATCACCGGTAAGAGCACTCATCCTGATGGGGGAATCTCTTCTGGATTCCGCCAATGCAACAAGTCGCCTCCGGCTCCTATCGGATACTGGGGCTACCGGGATGGTCTTGGGGCTCTTCGAAATTTCCGATGCTCGTCAACAGGGCTGCGAAGAGAATCTGAGTCCTTTCGGAGATGATCCACTGAACGTCAGTGCGTTCCGATCATCGGATGTGTACACCTTTTCACGCCTGAGCGTCGTCCGGAAGACGCAACTATTGTTCCAACAAGTCGCGGTGCCAGAGGTGAGTACCCAAGTCAAAGCTCCCCAGAAATCGGCAGCCAAGAATTCTCGACAGCGATCGTCTTCGTCGACACCGAGCGGAATTCCTGACTAGCATCCATTCACTTTTGACAGGGACGCGTCCTAGATGAAATCGTCATAGTCAAAGATACCGCGTATCCGACGTGGCAGGACCCAGACATGGCTCTGGATGCAAGCGTCGTTCAGTGACAGAGAGATCAAGCGTTTTTCTGTCGAAAGTTTCCGATCCAGGTAACCTGCCGGTCTCACAAAGTTTCTCTTGTCATTCCCTCTAGAATAAAGAATCGTGTTTCGATATTCCTCAACGGACTTCTTTAATTTCGATCCGAGGCCCACCGGCCTGCATTCTGATAACGGGCAAGTCCTGCCCGCGTAGAATCGCGAGTCCATGTCCACATCGTGCAGCCGCTTGACTCGAGATCCGAGCTCTAGGGCTGAAATTCCCAACGAACCGACCTTCCGAAAATATACAACCTCCCGTATTCCAGTTCACGCTGCTCCTTCTTTAGCCTTGAGCATTTCTTCGGCTGCAGCTAGCCGCTGGTCCCACACAGCGAATTTGCGATCGATATCTGACATCATACGATTGTAAGTCTCGAACATATTCATGGTCTGCCGCGTCAGAGCTTCGGCTTGCGTCACCTGTTCAGCCTGAGCTTCACTCAGCGAAGCCAGCTTCCCGGAATATGTCGGCACAGCTGCGGAGGAGGAATGAGGTTCAGATCCCCTGGACTCGGAAGCGCTGTGCCCGCCCTGGACTCGCAGCAAGAAGGGACCGTTCGGAACAATAACCGCGACTACGAATTCTTGGTGATAAAAGCCTGGAAACCCAACCTACTTTTTATGTGGGCGCTCTCGAGGACCTTCCGGGAACTTTCCATCTGCTCGAGCAATTGTTTCGCTTCTTCTATTCGATCCATATTCGCTTCGACCAGAGCCAATTTCGTACAACTGTCGACCCCGATATTGTGCTCGAGACTGGGGTCGAGGAGCGTGTGTAGAGCATCGGTTCGTTTCAGTATTCCGAGGTTGTCCTCATCTGCAAGAAATCGACCAGAATGGGATCCGTCGCCAGAATTTCGGCTCATCGAGTATCAGTGCTGGCATTCAGACCTGGAGCCGTCTCTTCGAATCGCTCTCGACTAGCTTACCTTGGATAGCGGAGTTGATTTTTCTGTCGATGATTGTTAAGCGTTCGACAAGCGATTGATCTTGATCGGCCAGATCGCCTTTCACGCGTCGTTCCAAGGAAGCTATCCTGCCTTCGAGCTTCTCCAGTACTGAAGCGTCCATAATTCTGGGAACCACAATCAAGAATCAGTGAAGGTCAAAGAAATTGACGTCGGAGCTCTCGTCCCAGGAAACTTCCTCCATCGATGGGACGGGGATTCCTGAACAAATTATCCTTAAACATCTCGTGGTGCCGATGAGATTTCCGAGAATACCCGGGTGTAGTAGTCACTGAATGATACTGTCAGCGCCGAGCGGAGCGGGTTCGTTTCTCAAATCGTTCGACTGTGTCACTTCCGTTAGAGGCCAGAACACATTTCGACCCACCAGGTTTCCGCGAGGAAGATGTAGTGGGAGTCAGCAATCCTTACCCTTGTGGATTCTTTTTTCCGATCGAGCTTTTTCGAACGCAGTAGTAAGTGTAGTATGTTAAGGAGGAGGAGCACGTAAAGCACGGAGCGCTGTCCGTCGTTTAGTGGGGAGTCCTAGAGGCGCTGGAATTGAATGACAGGATCGAGGATTGACTCGAAAATCCGCCGGACATCGACGATTGGGTTCTGACTCCTATTACATCTGCCATCAACCAAGAATTAGCCTCCGTAGACCGGTCTCCACCCGCCAGTGAGTGTGTTTCGCGCTTCAAAGAAAATCGAACGTTCGCGGAGCCTGTTCTCTCGAGTGTCTCTGTTCCGTCGTGAAATCCGCTACCATGCTCATCTGCAAGGTGAGCGCTAGGGTCTCCGACGATCGATTCAGATTCCGACACAGTGAGAGAGATCCTCGCCCGGAGTTTTCCGCCTCTGCTGGTGGAGAGCACAACGGGATCAGATGAGCTCGCGTCGGGATCAGAATCAGAACTCTATCGCGGAGCCGGTCCGTCCCGGCTGACGAACAGAACGGATGGCTCTTCACCGAATCCTGAGGTGTCGACAGACAAAGAGGTTGTGGAATGAATCTGAAAGGTCATTTGCGGTTCCAGGTCACAACCCTCGGCTCGGCGCCGATCCAGAGATTGCTTTGCACGATGGCCAGATCCATATCGTTGGATAGATTCAAGGTTCGGAAGTTCGCGCTTCGGCTGGGATCGAAAGCTGATTTGGATGTTCGAAGGTCCCCGGAAAAAAGTTACGGCCCCAATCCCGGTTCTTCCCACCATCGATTTTAGCCGAATCTCTTTTCGTCTATCTTCCAGGGTTGCTTGGTAGGTGGAGTAGCGGGCGACTGTCTCGGCGCTCCTTTCGAAGGAGATCAGACTGTTTCATCTACTGTGCTGAACTCTTATCTCGAACACATGGACGAGGCTGCTCAGAAACGAAGTAAGGAACAGTCTCTCGATTTTCGATTCTTCCTGGGGCTTGAACGGAGCCGCGCGGAATCGGTCAATTCGCTCACGATGCGGCTTTTTCAGACCAGCCGTATAAACCCTACACGGACGACACCGCGATGACTTTCGCCTTGTGCAAGTCGCTCTTGAAGAACGAGGGCCTGAATTTGATCGATCTCGCGGGACAATACGCGCACGAATTCCTCAGTGACCCAAGACGGTGAGAATAGTCGAGCGAGAACGACGTCCGAGAAGAAGAACGAATTCGCATGTTTTTTCGCGAACGGGATGCAGGGGTCGCGCGGTGCACAAATCTGAGTTAAAGGGAAACTGAGCCAAAATCTATCCCCATAATCAGTGGGTACGGCAGCGGAGCCCAACACGTCCTCGCCGCGATAGCCACAGAGAAGCTTTACGAGTCAACGGACGAATCGGCCGTTCTGGAGCCGGCTCGACAGCAGTTCGGCGGTCAGGGATCCTACGGTAACGGAGCCGCTATGAGAGTCAGTCCAGTGGCTTTGCTCCATGCGAAAGATCCTATCGAGCTGATGGTTGGTACTCGTCCTGAATATTTTATCTCCCCCGATTTCCTAGGAAACGATGGGGAACATCGCACAGTCTCGGTTAGGACATTCACTTTCCCTCCCCAGATCACAACAGCTCATCGCCAGAGTTTGATAACGCATTCGAATGGCTTAGCCGTCCTCGGTGCGGTGATTCAGGCGGCTGCGGTCCGGATAGCTCTGCAAACCGAGGAGGGTAAGGAAATCGATCCGAAAAGATTCGTCAATGAACTCAGGAACGTCATCATCAAAGTCGATCATGTCGACGCTTCGCACAGAGAGTGAGTAGTCGAGCAGTCAGCATCCTTCGTGGAGGCGACCCCGGAGGGGAGACGAGAAGCGATCATCCACTCGCCATCTCACGAATTTTTCCGCCCGTTCCAGGATTTATTTGGAGAAGTTGAACCTCGTGCTGAGATTCCTCGGCAAAACAGCTATTGACGAAGAAGAATTCTGCGAGCAACTGGGCAACGACATCTCCGCACCTGGATCAGTCCCCACAGCTGTCTACGCTTTCCTGAAAGCTTTGAAACCGTCGCAAGACTTTGAGGTGGGTTCGTCAAAGAGAAGAAGATTCCCCGAATCTCGCGCATCGGCTAAGCCCGAAATCGAGCCGAGAGCAGCCTTAAAGAATTCGTTCCATGGTGTAGTTTTTGAGTTGCTCGTCTTGATGGAATGTTATCATGATTCGGTATCATGACTTGCAGGTACCTAGCGGCATCCTCCGGACGATACTGACGGCAATCGAGTTCGGTGGCGACACGGATACCATAGCTTCTATGGCCGCATCCATAGCCGGTTCGTATAAGGGAGAGAGTCGAAGGCCTCGACCAGCAGACAAGAGAAGTTCTCACGATCAATATTCCCAACTCCAGGGGCGTACTACGGACGTGCGGACATCGGTGAGGACGTTTTGAAGCACTGCGAGGGAGTTCAGCTCGCGGAGCAGTACGCCGAAGGTTTCTTTGCTAGACTAACTCAACAGTGAGGCGGTCTCTCCAGAAGCTGAAGTGTTCACTACGCCCCCAGAGCGGCGGAATGCACATGTTAAATACAATAATGTGTATAGAGATTGCTCGTTCTTGTAGAATAAAATATCCTACGTTGACGTCTTCTCTTCTCCTCAGTACTTCATCTGAGATGAACTCCCAGCCACCACTACGAACTCGACTTCGTCGTGATCTCTTCTAGCCTCGAAGAGCATATCTGTTGTGAGGGAATTAAATTGGCGAATCATGTAGATCCGTCTGTACACGAGGGGCAAACGGTCCGTATCCTTGACCTGGAACCTTAGCCTGAGGAAAAAACAAGAATATATGAACGCAATTGAAACTGCCAAGCGAACCATCGATATTCGATGAAAACAGCAAATCAAACTTCGGATTCGATTGTGTTCGTCGAATCATCGCCCCGAGCTCCGACGTCATCGGGTGACAGCGGACCCGAAATCGACGTCCACTAAAAATCAATCAGAGTTTCATCTCAAGCGAAAGCGGTATCCTTCCTGCTATCATTTATTCCACCTAAAACCGGATATACATCATAAACTCATTTGCTCGCTCAAATAACACCGTCGATAGCCTTCTGCATGGCCTCATGCACCTCGATGAGGATTTGAGCCTCAGCTTTCGCCGTCTCGGTGGACGCTGACGCCAGCTGCTGTTGGGCCTTCGCGAGCCCTGCTCCGACCAGACTACCGTCGAGCTGATCGACAGCGATCGCCTGCTCTGCGATCACCTGAACCGAGGAATCTTCGTTGACGGTGATGGTTCCGGCAGACACGAAGAATCTGAAACGTTGATTTTGGATTTCAGACTCACGCATTATTGCACGCGGCGGAAGAGGAGGCGAAACCAAACTCAGTCCCTCCGTCGAGCAATCGTGGACTTCGATAACTCCGACGCGACTTTAAAGGTATGAGATTTCGGGGTAGCACGCCAACGAAGACACAGTTCCGAGTCACGCACTCCTCCGACTGAGGTGGGGGGAACTTCCCACTATGTCAGCCTCTCCTTGCATCTCTCTGGCTCACCTTTGCAAGTCGCCCTCTTTAGGGTATACGACGACCACTCCCGGTTTTATCACGGCACTGGTGCTGACATGGTTTGGCAGAATACCGAAGTTCCCCGAGTATGAGGGAACATCGACCTGGCGCACATCTGCACCATGGAAGTACAGATTCGACGGTGAAGCCAGCGTGAAAGCCATGCCTGTGGGTGCGTCCGCGAACCCGCGAGCGGAAACACGCGCTAGCTGACGGCCAACGGCCGAGCTCATGCGGAGGGCGAACATCTTTAATTTCGCTAAGAGAACCCTTCGTAACCTTCAGGAGATCGGCGACACCGCACGCAGGGACGAAAGAGATGCGCGGACACGGGTAGCGAATCAGAGCCGTTACTGGGATACTCGGAATGTATGAACGCATTTCCATTTCGAGCAGACCGCAGCTCACCACAAACCGCCGCGGCGAGGGGAGAACTCCAGAGTCGAAAGCATGGATTATGGAGGAGCACGATCGGCCAGACTCACCTTCAAAGGTGACAAGAAACCCTTCAAGAAGCACAAAAAGAAGAAGAAAGAAAAAAAAAGGTCTCATAGTAGCGGTAAGTGCAAGGAACGTCGAGCCTCGCTGATGAAGTCAGAGTCAGCCAACCTATCGAGCAAGTCGCTTGACAGTTGTCAGTACGTTTCGGTCCCGGGGGAAGCTGCCGGGGATCAGATGGTTCGCAATCATGACCTGCAAAACTTCGGAGAAATCAAGGCCGAATTTGTTGGCCCGTGGGTGCTCGCTCCTCGATTCACAATATCGAGGTGCACAATAATATTTCTCGAGACATGAGGTCTGCAATAGCACCCCGATTTGGAGATCGGATTCATCGGTGAAATATTGATATTTATTAATCATTATATGATATTATCAGAGATGATAATCATTTTCGATAATTTATGTTATCAATTTGAATTATTAGACGAGAACCTTTCATTATATCATATGGGTTCTCGCCTTCGAGAACTCTGAGGGCTTGTGACGCCCTCAGAGTTGCAGAGAGCGGTCCGCAGCGCTCGGGCTTTTGACTTATCCTAGTCGAGGGGAAATCCCCATGACTGAATTTTCTCCCTCCTTCTCAGATGAAGGTGAATCGAGCGCAGCCGGATGGCGAAAAGCAACATCCGTCGGTCAATTGAAAGGCACCATCGCAGTCAGATGGTCGGATGGAAGATTCATCGGAGCCAAAGATAATGGATCCCTAGAGTTGTGGGTATCCGAAGACGCCCCCAATCCAGAGCCCGCGCAAATGTTCACCGTTATCCGGCCGAACGAGACCCAAATCGCGCTGAAAACCGGTTACGGGAAATTCATCTCCGTTGACAATATCCAATGCAAACTCGAGGCTCTCACCGAAGCCATCGGACCCCTTGAGCACTTCGAACCCGTCTTCCAGGAGGGGAAAACCGCGATGCTTTCCGGAGCAAAAAGTTAGTAATGGGCCCCACTTTTGCAAGGTCGTACACGAAGCGACTCCTTGGAGGGAATGAAGCGAGATCTATGGTGAAAAGGAGGGGGGGAGCTCTTAGTTCATGATCCTCATGCCTTACTTCGACTTTCCAGACAACTTTGTTACGGCCTGTCGCGGAGAGTTGTTCGCTTCAGCTCCGTCTGTCAAAGGTGACAACGAGATCTGCGAGTTCGTCTATGAATCGACCGGCGACGACCATACTGTCAAAAAATCCAAGATAGCTGACCCTAAAAAGGTGCACCTGATGCTCCAGATCTGTGGGAATAGAACCATGAATTTTTGGATAGAGCGGAGTTTTGAACGATGATGAATAACTACTTTTCCTTCTCTTTCAACAGATCGCGAGGAAAGCGGGCTTGAGTCGCGAGGATATCAAGAAGCTCGAAGCTGAAGGGGCTAGTATATACGAAGCCATCGTAGACAAGAGATCGAAGGGGAAGAGCGACAAGTTCTGTAAATAGGAAGCACGAAAGCCCCAAATATTCTAGACTTGCGAGGAATCAATTTTGGTCGCTGTATTCATTCTGTACAAATGCTTCATATTGATCCTCCGAAGAGGACCGGTAAGTCTTCTTGACGAATGAAAATCCTTTATGAAATAAATATTGTGACCGTAACATTCGATTCCTCGAGATTTATTTCCCGTCTCTCCTCGGCTGATCGGTGAATCATTCTTGCGGTGATCCTGCTGTCGAGACCCATGCCGGTCTCCGTCCGAACACTCAGCTTTTTGAAGAGACGAGTATGTATTCCCGCAATGCCCGAAGTCTCTAAACGAGGGATAATCATCAAGGACGAATAAGACGAACGCGGAGTAATGATTGCAACGTTAGAAATAATTCTTCCGAATGTCGCTATGAAGGCCTCATGTTGTTGTTTGGCAGACGGAAGACAAGCAGGAGTTCAGGAAACTCGGTCCGTGGCTTCGGGATCACACAAGTCCCTGTAACAGAGATCAGATTTGCGATGATGCAATCAAGGAGTTTCGGTGATCGATTTTGCGGACATGGAGCACTTGGGATTCCACGAGGCTCATCTTATTCGGGAGACATCACTTCATCGTGGGCAGCCTTGATTGAGAAGCACCGTCGTATGAGTTTCCACCATTGTTAAGATTGCTCACCGCACGGCTTCGATGACGTCGGAGCTGCTCGATCTGTAGTATCTGAAATTCGGATTGAACATGATATCTCTCTGTTTCATCGATGAGGAGTGGAGAACTGCTGCCCCGCTCATCTCTCTCGCTCCTTCCTTGTATACACATCGTATATTACCGATCTGGCGATTCCAGCATATTGAAAGGAGTCTCAATGGTTTCCGAATAGGCGCCCTGATTGAAGAGCAGAATCCAATCTCCTATTTCCATCTCCGGCAGTTGCCAGCACGGGATGATCCGATCGATCCCATCGAGACTGACGCCGTAGATGCGAGTCGGATACAAACCCTCGCCGACGGTGTGTTTTTCAAAAATCTCCGAGCCCTAAGGAAATCACGCACTTTCTCAGACTCCACCGGTGAGCCAGGCGAAGAGTAGTCGGAACGGATTCTCGGCCGCGTGCACTCACACTCAATGGTTGGAGTTGGATATAGCTGTCGCCGCAGAGTGCCATGTGAAGCGAGACGTAAACGGATTCGTTCAGGTACAGCTGCGTCATGCCTTGAATACGAATGAATAGGATGGCATTGGTGAGAGGATCAACACCTGAACGAGATCCTCGAGGAAAGTTATTTCCGAGTCGATCACCTTTGAGATCACGCTTGCCAACAATCATGGCACAAACGCTACATGCTGATCCAACGAAGAAGGTTCCGGGTTCGGAAATGATCTCATAGCCCTCCGATGCCGGGAACAGGGAGTCGCATTCCGTGCCTATGGTTTCGGCGATCTGCATAATTCATTGCGTATTCAATGCAGCTTAGGAGCTGGCCTCTCGTTTCAACTCATGTCTCGCGCGGAGTAATATCTTTAAAACCATTTTTCCCGATGGTAGCTCACGCGAACCTTCCGGAAAGACGTTTCCTTGCCCCTATTGCAGTCGAAGCCACCACCGATGTCGATTAGTTTCGGAGCGCAACCGAAATCAAGAGCGATCTTCTCGGCATCCTTGCACACTCGGAGAGCCCTCACCGAAGTGCCGTCCTCTTGACTCTGACTACCCACGTGAAAGCTGCGGAAAAAGGGGGGTCCTGCCGCGCCGGGAAGCGAATACGATCGATGTCAATAGATAGCGCACAGCAAGCATATTCCATCATTCACCTGAAGCCGTGTAAATTCAACCCGAGCCTCCTCATTGCGTCTAGGACACTGGGAACATTATCCAGGGGGCATCCGAATTTGTCGGTCATGGTGTAGCAATCTTTCTCGACTACACGCAATCTAAGTATCAGCAGCGCCTCGGGGAAATGATCTCTTATCTGGGAAGACGAGAACCTTTTTCCTCACCAGATCGTCCTGCCTTGTGAATGGGGCTCTGTGTATTTAGCCCTTGCCAGCGGAGAGCATCTCCTACTGAGGGAGCATTCACGATACCTTTTCTAGTTCCCTCTCGTTGTCGAATGTCATACGATAGATTCCTCTCTCTTTCGCGAAACGGATGTATGTCGGGCACTTTATTGGATGCGCATAGACAATTTTTGAAGGATCCGCCCCGAGCGACAACAGCAGACGCATCTCGTTCTTCGAAGCGCAGTCGAAACCGACCCCAAGCCCAACGAGAGCTTTCAGGATAACTTTATTGAAGTTGCACTTCACAGCTGCAATGGAGAAAAGTACCTGCAAGAAATCGTTTTCCGAAGACAGATGAGGGTTCTGGTCCGGCTACGAGGGGTCTTGAGCTCGCGTGCATCCCCTCGTTCGAGGTTCCAGTCAAAGAATGAATCGCCGTGTCGATTTAGCACTCCATCCACAGATATGTCGGAGACTCCTCCAAATTCCGCTTCGCCCCGTCGCTCCGAAATCTCGCATCATCTTAATTGCGGGACCTTAGCCACCGCAGGCCTACCCAGCCGAAAAACGAAGAATATGTCGCGAGAGGCATTCTCTCACGCGATTGTCACTCAAGCCACGCGTGCTCGCTGCAAGCACGCTTATGTTGTATCGACTCGCTGATGAATCATAGACATCCGCCAAAAGGGAAGAAAGATTGGGACGGCACTACGAGGTACGATTTAATCGAGTAGGTGGAATGGGGGAGGACTCGGCGCCTGTTGCTTACCATAATGAGGTTCAATTCGAGGTAGAACTTCACGCCAGAGCTTCAGCTTGAACGAGAGATCGTCGAGATCGATGACATAGAAGGCGGTTTCCTCGTTCTTCCTACAGGAAACTATCGACCGCGCGAGCTGGACCGGATCGGGCCCAGCGCTCGACCAGACATCGAGATAGGGAACATCCATCTGAGCTCGTTGAGCTCTAGAGATGGACTGGAGATCGTTCCGAGCTAACCGAACCGACACAACGGCTCGATTCCTCGCTCTCCACTCTCAGATTAAGGGGGACTTGATTGACCTCAGGAAATACCACCGTTATCTTCAGCTGGATGCGAAAGAGACGTATTTCCCTCGAGAGACCTCCGTCGGGTTTCCTGGGGATCTAGAGACAACCCGATATCCCACGGTGCCCTACCACGCCCGCGCTCGTATTTACGATTCGGCCACAGAGAACAGCAATCAAATCTATCCACTTCTTGCATGCGCTCGACGATACTGGCGGGCGATACCTCCGTCACTAGGGTCGTACCGACTGTCGATCTTGATCTGCCTGGACTGGGATCTCGGGCTCAAGAGCTGTATCGGTGATCGCTGTCTGAACGAAAGCCACCCTTGAGGAATGTAGCCGCCGATCGCGGTTATTGGATTGGAAGACCAAGGAAGCTTTGGACCTCATCCTCATAATTCCGTTTGTTTTATGTCGACATTCGCGCGGGGCAATGTAAAAGAGAACATCCTCCGGTTGCGGAAGCTCTGAGACTTCAGCGATGGGAATCGGTCCCAAGTGGACCTGCGCGAGCTTCGTCCGTGTGCTTCGGTCGAATGAGTAGAGAAACTTCTGTCAACGTGGTCCCGAGGACCGCGTTCCGCTGTCTCTCACGAGCAGGCTCCATGGTGAGCCTTACTAGCCATTTAGCTATTCAGCAGAGGCATTCAGCAACCGTTTGGGATGGAATCCGCGGCCAGGCGATCTTGGGAAGAAGACCCACGTTTCGCGAGTCACGTTGCTGCGGCGATTGTGAAGCCTCGGTAGTATTCACAAATCGCACCGCAGAACCTCCACGATTTTGCACAGCGCTCCCTGACCCCTTTCGTGTAAATCACCAGCTGCTGATCTCGATCGACCTGCCGTCCCTGCCCCTCAGCTTTGCTCTCAGCAACATTATCCGTTCTGCGTTCATGCTCTTCGGCCTTGCTTTCCCGTGTGAACACGGTTTCACATCAAAGCTCTTGGCCGCCTATGAACGGGCCGTGACTCCGTGTATTTCCGATAGATGAGCTCCGCGTAGCCGCACCCTCTCACGACGATGGCCCAGACGAATCGCTCCTGCCCCGCAGCTCCAGTTCTGTCATAAACTTCGTCTCAACTCCGCGCCGAATTCGTCTATTGTGATTGTGTGCTATGATTTCTCAGGTCGTTAAAAGCCTGGGAGCCTAGAAGAGCGAGGAGAGCGAGTATAAAAATGGGCAGAACGCGCGAAACTCCGGAGAAGGAGCGAAATGGCCGCTCTCACTGACGCCCAAGCCGAGGCTATCTGCTCTTTGCCGAAAGAGGAGACGAACGCTTACTTCGTGCAGCAGACCTCCTTCCGGATAAAAGATCCGAGGAAGAGCCTGGACTTCTACTCGCGAGTCCTCGGTGAGTGCTTCATGAGCAAAAATCATGACGCTCAATCCATGTAAATCATGGAAAGGGACGGATGATGAAATGGAGCCCGCTCGATCGATTCACCCTCGGATAGATGGTAATTGGATTCTGTTTCTGGAACCTTTCGCCAGGAATGACCTTGCTGATGAAGTACGACAACCCTGAAATGAAGTTCTCGCTGTATTTCATGGGATACGAGAATCCAGACGAGGTTGGATTTTTATGCCAGATGTCGTAGCGAGTAGCTGCTTTGATTCTCAGCGAGCGAGGCTCTCACCATATTTCTGATGATTGGCCTCTCGGTGGGAAGAATCGAGTCATTTCTTTATGATTTTCATAATCACGCCAGGTTCCCAAAGATCCGACGGAACGAGAGCATTGGACGGACTCGCGGAGGGCGACGCTTGAAATGACTCACAACTGGGGGACCGAATCAGATCCGGACTTCCCGGGCTATCATAATGGTATGACGACTACTCCTCCACTCCGGGGAAATCCTGGCTTTGTCTACGCAGGAAAGTGATGAGCGACTTCATTCCAGGAAATACTGAGCCTCGAGGATACGGCCACATCGGTATTCAAGTGCCCGACAAAGAGGAAGCTTGCGAACGCTTCGAAAAATTAGGCGTCAAGTTCGCCAAAAGGCTGACCGAGGGAAAAATGCACTGCCTTGCGTACATTCAGGATCCCGACGGGTACTGGATAGAGATAGCCGATAACAAGGGATCATGCTGATCATGGATTCCGTCCAGAAGCAATAAAGTTCGTCTTTCACCATCGACGCTTTTGGAATTGTCTGTCGACCAACGCGAGGGATTCCACTCGGGAGCAGGCCGAGCTGCTGGATGTTGGAGTCATTTTTCCGTAATCGAGAGAATTACGAAAAATCCTACTTGTATAAGTTTGTGACGAACTTGGCACCGAAAATCCTTGGAGCTTACGAGTTACCAAGCAGGGTCTTTGGACAGCTCCACTCCTCGCCGCGACGGGGTGCTGTCGGACAAGTATGTCTCTAGCGAAATTGAAGCTCGACGATAGGGTTAGAATCGCTTTTTTTGACGAGCCACCACAGATTCTGGGCTCAGAGAAGCCCTTGGCAGACAACTCGAGCCTCTGACTTGTCTGTCTAGCCGGAGCCGATTTCGCTGATACTTCTCTTGAGAATCGAGGCTGCCAATCCGAAGAAAGGCGAATTGAGTCTGAGTATAGTGTAACGATGAAAACTGATGTGAATGTAGAGAATACCGCAAAGCCTCGAATTAGTACGTATGTACAAGTCTTGAGAATGTACTTCGGCTTTTTCCGAGCTCTGCCAGTTGACCCTTCCGGCCTTTAACGTATATGTTCTGTCCATTGTGGTTTCGCGGAGGGACAAGATCCAGCCGCAAAGGCCTTCGAAGGGAACCGGTTTCGCCTCCAAGGCTTATCAATTGGATATTGATGCGCTGGCGATGTCAGCGCCATGAATACCAGATCTAGCAATAAAGCTGGGCATCATTCCTGCCCTTCGTTATCGGAACGTTACAATATATCTATAGATACATCTTCGGAAGAGAGCTGTCTGATTTGCGTTGAATATGTATGTATCAAAGCCGCCTTCTGGAGACCGATTGAGAGCCTACACGGATGATGGGAACTCCTCCTTCACTTTATTGCTAATGAGCCTTCAATTATCGCTCGCGCTCCTTCGAGAAGAGGAGAAAATTATATCCGAATAAGGGAACCGAGGTCATATAAGGTAAGCATATGCAGCAAACTGGCTCGCCGTTAAACGAGAGAAATGGAATGACGCTTTGGATAATTTCGCAAAACTACGGGATATGATTGCTGGACGCGAAAATGACGCATGCTTGAGGAGCGGCACTTTTCGGTGAGACGAAGATTAGACTCATACAGGTGGCTCACGAATCACGACGTAGTCTGAGCAATGTTCCTCGAGTTCTGATGAGCTTGGATGAGTTTCCGGGAAATAAGCGACGCGCTATATGGGGTTCCACTCCGATTATGGCCCTGGAGCATCTCTACAGCGGAGTCCCTGCTCGTAGGGCAGTCGACAATGGGATGCGTGAATTTCTCATGCAGTCTTCTCTGCATCCGATAGGTTCCTGCAATTATGAGATGAACTGTGATCGGAGTCGGCAGACGCGGTGATTCTCCCGATGAAGCATGCAAGGCGCTGGTTCTGTAGCGCGGTTCCCCTCTGGCGACCGGCGCTTGCACCGTCAAGACCGAATATTCCGAATACGCCGAGCGAGCCTCACATGGAAGCGACCGATATTAGAAAAATTATCTATTTTCTCACCGCACAAGCTCAATGAGCTCGGGGCTCCCGGAACGGTAGAATCTGGAATTCGTATTCGATATCAGGTGTCGTCTGATTGATTGGTTTCTCCATGATTGAGATCTCTCGCCTCCGCCGAGTCTCTAGAGACTGCTGAGACTGTCCAGAGAATCGAGGCGGACTTCTTCGTTCATGCGTCCTTGCCGAGCATTACCGATCGGGTGAATCCAGCATATTGAAAGACGATTCAATTGCTTCAGAGTAGGCGCCTTGATTGTAGAGCAGGATCCAATCTCCTATTTCCATCTCCGGCAACTGCCAACATGGGATTATGCGGTCGATTCCATCGAGACTGACGCCGTAGATTCGAGTTGGTTGCAAGTTTTCCCCGATGCTTGTTTTATCGAATATTTCAGATCCCTGAAAAATTCAAATGCTTCTCGGAGACCCCCGAGAATTTCAACACACCCTGGGAATGCCAGAAATGTCTGAGCTCACTTTCAAGGGCTGGAGTTTGATGTGACTATCTCCGAATAGCGCTCTATTGAACGAGATGTACACGGATTCATTCAGGTAGAGTTGCGTCATTCCTGTAATTCATGCCAGGAGGATCAGATCCGTTCGGCGAATTCTGGTGACCATCCTCAGACAGATCATCCTGCGAGTCGACGGCGCTCTGATAACATAAGATCGGAAGTCGAATATTTCACCTCTGAGATAACGCTTGCCGACAATCATAGCACAGATGCTACAGGCTGATCCTACGAAGAAAGTTCCTGGTTCCGAAATGACCTCATAACCTTCCGAGGCTGGGAACAAGGAGTCGCACGCAGTGCTTATGCCTCCCGCAATCTGCATGATTCAATGTGAATGAATGATTCCGTAAATCTAGGAATGAGCTCGACATCTATCAGAAAAACGTATGAAGGGGATTCGCATCGCGGGTCGCTCTATCTCACCTGTTTGAAAGTTTGCTCGTCTCCCTTGTTGCAATCGAAGCCTCCCCCGATATCGATGAGTTTCGGGGTGTACCCGAACTGCCGCGCGACTTTCTCCGCATCTTTACAAACCTGGAGAGCGGTGACAGAAGTGCGATCTTTCTCGCTCTGGCAACCCACGTGAAAACTGTGGCGAAATCGTTAAAGATGTCACTTATATCCGACCCGGAGGACCCGTGCTTTCCCACGAAAGATGGTCGAGCCGCGAACTCGAATGATTGAAGTTTACCTGAAGCCGTGTAAATTGAGTCCTAGATTCTTGGCCGCCCCAACGACGCTGGGGATATCTTCTGGGGGGCATCCGAATTTGTCCGTCATCGTATAACAATCTTCATCGACAACTCGCAGCCTCAAAATCAGCAACGCCTCGGGGAAATGCTCTTTTATCTGTTGAGGAACAATTGAAACCTCTAATCGCTCGTCGTCGGAATCCTCGCTCCTCAGGGCGGCGGGGTACCCAAAGCTATAGCACTCGATACCTTCTGCAGCTCTTTGACGTTGTCGAAGGTCATTCGGCGGATTCCCTTCTCTCGTGCGAAGTGGATGGAAGTTGGACTTTTTATCGTATGCGCATAGACGATTTTCTGAGGGTCGGCTCCCAGCGATAACACCAGGCGGATCTCGTTCCTGGATGCACAGTCGAAACCAATTCCTAATCCGACAAGTACTTTCAGAAGCACCTTGTTGGGATTGCATTTCACAGCTGCAAGACGAACAGAGCGCGGTAAGTCGGTCTTCGTAACCGAGATGTGCCTCGAGCTCCCATGCTGTGTTCCGATCATGGATACAGAGATCGGAAAATGTGCGTTCTGTCATTGAGATGAACTATACCAGGGAAGCCTAATTAGAGACCTAACAAATGCATTATTAGAATTTTGATATTCAGGGGTGTCACATCGCACCGTGTGGTCTCATGCGTGCAGCGCGACATCATTCTCGCAAGCGACTCCATGCCCGAAGCTCACCGTAATGCGGCTGCACACGAGGCAGCACCTCGCGCCAAAGTTTCAGTTTGCGCGGAGGATCGTCGAGATCGATGACATAGAAAGCAGTTTCGATATCTTTACTCTTCGAAACTATCGAGCGCGCGAGTTGGACCGCATCGAATTCTCCGCTCGACCACTGATCGAATCGGGGAACCTCCATCGGATTGTGGAGAAGGTCTGAAATTCCCCCTTATTCACCGGGATCAAGCTCCGTCAGACACTCCGCGCAGCCGCTGATTCGATATTTGGTAAATTCCTGGGGAGGTTTTGCAGCCATGATTATCGGCGAGATGCGCAGGATCAACTAAGAAGCCTGAGTCGGCGATCCAGAATATCTAGCAGCGTCTCGAGATGCCTCGGTACTTTACCGCTCCCGACGTCGGGGATCCGTTCGCTACAAGAAGCCGTCACGGTGTCTTCTATTCGGTGGATGAGTCCGCGTTGATCCTGACAGCACAACCGATGAGCACTTCTGAGCCGGCCGACCTCAGACGGAGTCTCTCCACAAGTGATCGGAGCCGTTCATCCAGCACGCATATATACCAAGGTTCGACAAGGGCATCTGTGGTCACTTCTGAAGATTACGCATTGGGATACATTTGGAAATGAACCGGGGCAGCGGCTCGAAAGTCGGCGACGTGGGTTACGAATTTAAAATGCTGAATACTCGACTCCGGGATCGAGGAGGAAGCGAAAACAGAAAATAACACTGATCTTCGACAATCCCCTCCTTCTCTCCGAACATAGTGATGCTCCAATTTAAGCTTGCCCTTGTTGAGCGATACAACTCGTTTATAGTTCAAATCTTCAAATCATGACAATGAGGGGTTCCTCCTCCACCCGAGACCGAAGCACGGAATCACTACTCGGAAGATCGGATTCGCCTCCGACCTGGAAAAAATCGGTGCCTCATGAAGAGCGGTGTTCCCGAATTTCGGGCACTCCATTTCTATCGACTTCGCGAGAGCGAAGACCGCGTTTTTTCCAGATGGTGGCATTTCTCCGGCTCCGATGAATTTCTTCCACGCCATCAAGGAGCGGTGCGCTCCACAACACGAGGGATACGCCTAGATTGGACTACTGCGGTGAGATCTATCCTTTTTCGAACGACGGGAAACCGAAATGTCCAGAACTCAGGAGCTCAATGAGGCCTGACGATCGATACGACGATTCATATTCGATGCGGGAGCTCTCCCGGCTCCACACGATTCTGTTTACAGACATTCGCTAGCCGCATGGGATGATATAGTAACGGTGATCTGAAAAATTAGCATGAGGAGCTCGCCCGCATTGAGAGCTGTCGCATGCGGAGCTCGAGATGTTGAATGAGCAGGCTTTGACGAGCGGTATCGTCGATTCGTAATTCCCTGTGATCGCGGACGTCGGGCGCTTCGTCGAGGTGGCGGGAGATTCGTCGATTATGACGAGGGCCGGTTCCCGAAAAGCTTGAATTCACCATGAGCACATTTGCCATCGACCCGCCGCTACTATTCTGCTATCGGGTCGCCATCTTAGAAGTCGTGATTGAATTTGGTCTAGACGATATATTCAGCTTTTATCACTGGGAAGAAGATGAAGCGTGGCAGCTCTCTTCTTATCTATCTCGCAGAAAAAAGTGTGGGTGTCCGATGCTTTTTCGACTCTCATTCGTACGGAGCTAGGATGGGCTCTGCTTCACCGAACTCTCCCGAATCGAGGAGGAAATTCGGAAATACATACTTCCCTTCGAAGTCGCAGAGCATCGGAGCTCATCGATGCAGAGGATATCGGGGTTGTCTTGCCCGTTCGGAAAAGAACGGTAGTTCGATCGATCGCAGCATCCGACGCACAATCTGACGAATTCTTGCCTGACCAAGGAACCTCGAGCCCACCAGGATAAGTTCCACTCACGAAAGTGCGATATACGGTACGAGGAAGTCAAGCATCCGTCAATCAGGAACTGGGAGATCTACGAATCGATCGGAATACACGTGGGATTATGAGAGAGATTCTGAGTCAGGGAACTCGGGGATCCTTTTTGTCTCGGCTCGGATTCACCATCGGGCCGGTCCCGCTTCCCAAGTCATGCTTGAAGTCCCTGCCGATGTGGTCAGATATGACCAACAATAAGTGAGAGTTCACATAAGAAGGTTCAAGCTTCCGTTGAGCCATGAGCTCGCCGGAAACTGATCCGAGCATGCCGGTAGGCGGACAAGCAGTCGAGGTCCTACCAAAAGACGTCTCCCTGGAAGATTCCAATGAATTCTCCGGATTCAGTTCCTATATAGGTACATACATCTATCTATATATATAAAAATGTCTGTCTGTCTGTCTGTCTGTCTGTCTGTCTGTCTGTCTGTCTGTCTGTCTGTCTGTCTGTCTGTCTGTCTGTCTGTCTGTCTGTCTGTCTGT